GATCAGTGTGTATATTTATGACTGTTATTTTGAAATCTTTATCAAGAAGATTTGTGATCTCTATTCCATTTAGCCCTCTTTCTGGTATCTTATCCTGTAGTCTTGTTTGGAACATACTTCTCTGCCTCATTTTGTGTGGGTTTCAGGGTTTTTTTCTTCCTTTGTATTATATAGATCTTCTATGCCTCCTGGTCTAGTGAGTAATGGCTTTATGGGGAAGGCTTTCTTGTGATGCCCAGAAGCTCAAGACTCTACTCACCAGTGCCTGGCTCTCCTTTTAGTGGAGCCCCAGTTGCTGTTCGTGGGCTATGGGCAAGTCTGCCCTTCTGCCTGTTTGTTAGCAGTGGCTGATTTCTGTCAGCAGAGTCTGGCAGTTTGCCTCAGCAGGCCCTTTGTGAGCTGAGCAGTCTTGCTGGTGCTGGGATTGTTGTGGGCAGGCTGCCCTCTGCCTGCCCTGCAGTGATGGCAGTGCTGCTGGGCTAATGGGGTTGGCAGGGCATGTGTGCAGGGAAACGTGGGTGGGGCTGGGCTGTCAGTGAGGCATGAGTAGCAGTTGGCGCTTAGTCCCTCAGGTTCCTCCCCAGTTGGGGGTTATAAAGGGCTGAGAAAGCTGAAAAATCCTCCCTCTACCTGCCAACAGCAGAGTCTGTCCACTGCTGGGCTGAGCTGCCCAGGCAGGCACATGGGCTGGCAGGTGCACAGGGAAGTGCCTTGGGGCTAAGTCATCAGTGAGGGGGATGGAGTGTTTGGGGCTTTCACAAGTGCCTGACAAATTGGGTTAAGAGAGGGCTGAGGAAGTTTCCATCTGCTCTTTCTTTTGCAGAGAGAGCTCCATCTGACCCTCATCCCGCTGGTACCCTTCTTTCTGCTGGTAATTTATTTCAAACTGCTGCCTCTGAGTTGGATCTCAGAGAGACCAAGGGAGCTTGCCTGTCCTTCACAATAGGCAGTAGGAAGCCTCCCAGAGTGCTTCAACTCTGCCTGGTCTTCAGTTCCATTAATGACCAAAGCCTGGTGCAGTGAGGGCTTATGTTCCCAGGTCAGATCTCTAGGGCCAGGTGTGCAGAGTTCCTGAGCACTTATCCGCTCCCTGCTCTGTTCTTCCTCTTGCTTGTGGGCTGGGATGGGGGAATAGCTGGGGTCCCAATCTACTGTGGCTGTGCCACTTTACCCTTCTCTGTGTGGTCCTCTCTTCTTCACCAGGTGTAGGTGGTCTGTTCTGCAGTTTTGAGATGGTTTCCAGGGTTAGTTGTATTTGCTGTAGTTGGTTCCTTGATGTACACTGAACTTGTGACAATGTCTAAAATTGATTAAACATTGTGTGTGTGTGTGTGTGTGTGTGTGTTTGCCACCTTGCCTTCCTACTCTGCCATCTTTTTTCCCCCCTCAGTTGTTTCTATTGAATAAATTTTATACATAGTAGATATATATTATGGATACTGATAATGAATTGAAGAAGCAAGGTCTAGTGCTATAATGATTTGAGCTAAATAATGTGTCTGGTATTTTAGAAAGCTATTTTTTTATTGTGTAGATAGTATCTTCTAACAAATGCTTCTTATGTCAATTGTCATATAATACTCATAATACATGTCATATGATAATACCAATAAACCTAAGTAATTATGGGTATTGTATCTGTTGTTAGTATCCATTCATATGTTATCTTACATTTCATACTGTTTTCTACAAATTATACAGTATTTCTACATTATCACTGTTGAAACTTGGGCTACCTTCTCTCATTTGTGCAATGAATTGCCTTAGTTTCTAGTAATTAATGTTAATGACAAGATCAGAAAATGACCTTAGGGAAAATGAACAATTAAATGTGTTCTTCATTTCATTTAGGTACCGTCATTCTAAAGGTCCTCAGCATTAGAATCTTGGTGTCATACTTACTTCTTTCTATGTTGACTTTTATTCATTTAGACCCTGAGTAGCATCAGTTTTTTTCTTTGAGTGACATTTGTTGTTTCCTGTCAGCTCTCTCTACTACTTTATTTGAAACTTACTGGCTCACACTTCTTGTACTGCAGTTGCTTCCTTGCTCATTGCTCTTTTTACTTTAATCAATTTTAGACATTGTCACAAGTTCAGTGTACTTAATGGATCTCATGTAGTCATTTACAGCTCTCATTCTGTTTTAAAAACTTTCAGTATTATGTTATGTGAATTTTACTTCATTAAAAAAAATTCAGCGTCTCCAGATATCTACATCAGTAACCAACATGAGTGTTTGTGATCAGTAGATGTGCCACAGGTCAAATTACTAATAGTTATAGACCAGAAGTTTGTGAATTACTACATTTTCAAAAATTAAAGGCATTCCAAGTTTGCCAATAAGAATGTCATTCCGACATACTTGCATATAATATATTCTCTTGAGTGAGAGAAGAGTTATAACCATGTGCCACGAATTATACATTATGACTGATGTTCTTTATTTCTCTGAAGGTTTTTTTTTTTTTTGCTTGGTTGGTTGAGTTTTATTCTTTTTAAGTCTAGGCATACCTACAGAATTTGAAACCATGTGTTATGATGGAACCAAGATTGAAGTCCTTTTTCCTTGAAATAAAAATTTTTAAATCTTTAATTTAGGATTTAAGACCTCAATTAGGCCTCCATATTTCTATCCATCTCTCATTCTCTACCCTTCTTTAATTGGAATAGTCAAGCCCAAGAAGCTTGTGCCTTATGCCCTCAGAGCATCTTTGAATTGTTTGGTCATGTTTTTTCCCCCATATGGAATGTCTTCTATTCCCTTTTAATCTCTCTGATCCCACTCAGTCTGAGAGCCTCAATTAAGTTCTCTCTTGTTCATGAATATTTTCCAGCCTACAGTGCTCTCTTTGATCCTCTGAGCTGTTGCTGTTTATATTCTTTACCATCACTTAATATCCTATGATCAATAGTTTTTGATCGTTTCCAACTTACAGCATCTCCTTATGATGTACCCTGTAATGTATTTCTATTTTGTCTTCTGTTTGGGGTATAAGCTCGCTGAGATCACCTATCATGCCTTAACCCTTTTCTTAAACCTCATAGTCCCTATCACAGTGTTTTTTAGTAGAAGAGCTCATTAAATATTTATTAGACTGCTTAACAAACAAAAATATTCCACGATTATTTTTATTTGCATTGAACTATAAATCAGATAAATCCTCATATATTAACCATTGTTGAATATTAGCACATACACATATGTATTCATTTGTATGTACATATACATACACAAACATGAATATTCTCTGATTCCATTTTGGGGTTTTAATACTCATACTTTTAAAATTTGTGATATCAGTTTACCTTTAAACTTTTAGTTAAGAATATGTTTAAGCAATCCTGAGAAGGAAGAATAAAGCAGGGGGAATCTCGCTTCCCAACTTCAAGCTCTACTACAAAGCCACAGTAATCAAGACAATTTGGTACTGGCACAAGAACTGAGCCACAAACCAGTGGAACAGACTAGAGAGCCCAGACATAAACCCAAGCATGTATAGTTAATTAATGTATGATAAAGGAGCCATTGATATACAATGGGGAAATGACAGCCTCTTCAACAGCTGGTGTTGGCAAAACCGGAGAGCTACATGTAAGAGAATGAAACTGGATTGTTGTCTAACCCCATAAACAAAAGTTAACTCAAAATGGATCAAAGACCTGAATGTAAGTCATGAAACCATAAAACTCTTAGAAAAAAACATAGGCAAAAATCTCTTAGACATAAACATGAGCAACTTCTTCATGAACACATCTCCCCAGGCAAGGGAAACAAAAGCAAAAATGAACAAGTGGGATTACATCAAGCTAAAAAGCTTCTGTACAGCAAAGGACACCATCAGTAGAACAAAAAGACATCCTACAGTATGGGAGAATATATTCATAAATGACATATCTAATAAGGGGTTGACATCCAAAATATATAAAGAGCTCATGCACCTCAATAAACAAAAAGCAGATAAGGCAATTAAAAAATGGGCAGAGTAGCTGAACAGACACTTCTCCAAAGAAGAAATTCATATGGCCAACAGGCACATGAAAAGATGCTCCATATCACTAATTATCAGAGAAATGCAAATTAAAACCACAATGAGATATCACCTCACACCAGTTAGGATGGCCACCATCCAAAAGACAAACAACAGCAAATGTTGGCAAGGATGTGGAGAAAGGGGAACCCTTCTACACTGCTGGTGGGAATGTAAATTAGTTCAACTGTTGTGGAAAGCAGTATGGAGGTTCCTCAAAAAACTCAAAATGAAAATACCATTTGACCCAGGAATCCCACTTCTAGGAATTTACCCTAAGAATGCAACATCCCAGTTTGAAAAAGACAGATGCACCCCTGTTTATCGCAGCACTATTTACAATAGCCAAGAAATGGAAGCAATCTATGTATCCATCAGTAGATGAATGGATAAAGATGTGGTACATGTACAATGGAATATTATTCAGCCATAAGAAGAAAACAAATCCTACCATTTGCCAACAGCATGGATGGAACTAGAGGGTATTATGCTCAGTGAAATAAGCCAGGCAGAGAAAGACAAGTATCAAATGATTTCACTCTTCTGTGGAGTATAAGAACAAAGAAAAAAACTGAAGGAACAAAACAGCAGCAGGCTCACAGAACCCAAGAATGGACTAACAGTTACCAAAGGGAAAGGGACTGGGGGAGGGGTGGGGATGGGTGGGAAGGGAGGGAGAAGGGGCAAAAGGAGTGTCGCGATTAGCACACATAATGAGGTGGGGTGGGGAATTCAGGGAAGGCAGTATATCACAGAGAAGACAAACAGTGATTCTATAGCATACTATTATTATGCTGATGGACAGTGACTGTAATGGGGTATGTGGTGGGGAGTTGATAATAGGGGGAATCTAGTAACCATAATGTTGCTCATGTAATTGTATATTAATAATATCAAAAAAAATATGTTTAAAGATAGTGACATAGTATTCACAGATAATTGATTCATTTGCTTGAAAATATACCACAGGAATCCAAACTTTCATTTCATAATGACAGTTTCCGGCTTGGTGAACTGAGACTACATCTTATGGCCTCTGCAGGAAAGATGTTTAAGGATGGATCAATGGATGTCAACCTTCAGCTTAAGACATGTACCCTTGATGATCTTAGAGAAGGCATTGACAGAGCAACATCAAGGTTTGTCATCTCTGAGCCTGCTGTACATTATTTAAGGTTGACGTTGCACTTGGTGTGGCTACGAGGCATTGATTGCTGGGCTTGGAATTATCAGAAGAGGTCTTTGGTCATACCTCAATTTTAAGTACATCAAGAAGTACTGCTAATTCAGATTCAATGGCTTTAAAGTGTGAATTAAAGGGAAGTTTAATAATAAAATGGAGTACTGTCTTGAAGATGGGAACTAAGAGAATACACGAATTTTAATAGTTAAATCCACATGTAGTTTATTGGTACCATATTTTTAAAATTGTATCCAGTAGGCAGAATCTTTGTTTTAAAAAAGCCTGAAGGTTTTAGATTTTTCCTTTGTCTTATTTATTTTGTATACATATTTTAAAACAGTTCTGTGAAATTTCTTTCAGTTTTACTAGAAATGAAATCTCTAGCATTTTCACAGTATCAGCTAATTTTTGAAAGATTAATTTATAGCAGTCCTCTATAAGGTGGGAATTATATAGCCTTAGATAGCCTAGTTATATTTTTATTATTTTCCAAAATAATGAGACACATGATGTTTTTTACCCTTACTGTTTTTTGGAGAAAAATTATGTTGCTTCCTAATCTTGGACTCCATTAAAAACATATTGGATACTTCTGAGCCCTTAGCTTTTCTAAGTGATGAATAAATGAGGAAAGAATGCTATGGTGCAACCAGCTTTTCTAGTTTGCAAATTTTGTGTCAGAAATTGTTGTCTACACTTGTCTAGGCTAGTAGTAGCCTGCTCTTTCTAGCACATGTGATGGTGGGTGGAAACTGTCATTGTAGACACTTGATAGACCTTTGTTGATTTGAATTGCATTAAATGTTTTTGGATTCAGTTGTATAGGATGCTCTTTGGAGATAAATTTGTTCAGGGAGGTTAATTTTGTAAAATAATATAAAGAGGTTGTCTTTTAAATTTTGCAGAACCACACTCGTGTTGCTAATTTCAGCAGTCATTCATTTTTCTTTACTACTATTGATTATTCTTATACATATTTTTTAATTGCTTATTAACATAAATCTTGCTGTGGAGATTAGGAGATCATGTCTTGGTTGCTAATTAGCTAGTTAGACTCCAGTTAACATTGTTTTGTATTCAGATTGAAAAATGAAAGGTGAAAGAAAGATTATTAAAATGTATAGGAAAATCTTCATCTTTTCAATTATTTGAGCAGGAATAAAATAATCAGTGTATATGTATTTTTCAGAATGATTGATAAGAAGAATGACCAAGATAACAACAGTTCTATGATTGATATAAGTTACAAACAAGGCAAAGATGGAACTCATGTTGATGCCCTTCTTGACAAGCTATATGTATGTGCCAGTGTGGAATTTCTGATGACTGTGGCAGATTTCTTCATCAAAGCTGCGTCTCAGAGTCCTGACAATGTGGCAAAAGAAGCACAGCTTCCACTGCGACAGACTGCTACAGCAAAAATCAGGGTTGAGAAAGGTCAGCAGCATTTATCTGTTGTAGGTGACATCTTATGTATTTAAAGAAAAATTTCAAACAGGAAAAAAGTAATGGAAAATTTAAGAATGTAATTATTCTTTCAGATTTAAATGAATTCTATAGAATAACTTCAGTAAACATAGATTTTTAAGAGAGAAATCGACTAGAAATATATATTGTATTAGAGGCCAGCAGGCAGCTATTTAACACTGCTTTACCCATCCAGAAAGAGAGGGAGTTTATCTGGGTCTATGGTTGGCAGTCTGTTTTATAAAAGGGGAATCCTTTTCAAAGAAAATATTTGGAAGAATTATAGCATCTTGAAGGATAATTGAACAATAAAAGCAGAAGGTAGGGTATTTGCTGACTTAGCTTGAGATCCCTGGACATCACCTTAGATACTTTAAACTCACAGGAGTGTTTGCAAATGTCTGGTTTTGGTGTATGCTGAGGCCACTTCCCTGTTTGGTAAGACATTTATTCTATCATTACTGAGTAGACAGTAATTTTCTCTGTTAAATTGTAATTGTCTAGGGTCAGACATTTTTCTCTCTAATGTATAACTCAGCAAAACTGGGAAGTATCATTTACTGGCAAGGTCAGAATTTATTTTTCCAGTTACCTTTCCTAAGTAGTAATTATATCTGATATTTCTGTATTCATATGTACATCTAATGTATTTACACTATAGATTATGACACTGACTATATATTATGTGGCAAAATCAAAGTAAACAAATAATAATGGTCTGGCAACTTTATGAGGTCCTCTTCTTCCTAATACTCCCTTCTGTTTTCCCCTCCTTGTCCCTGCAACGTAACATAATACAAACTCATGTGTGTGTACAAGCACACACCTTAATTCTGACAATAAGAACTTTGAAGCAAGATTATTCCTGCTAGGTCAAAATGGGAATGATCTTCTTATGGCAGGGATAGATTTCATTATCTTGCAAAAATCCGCATTTGTTAATAATCCTTTATTATTGCTATTAATCAATTATCAATATTGTTAATGTCACTCTATTATATCAGGATATTAGAAACAACTTAGCAACTTTTAGATAACATGTACTGAAGTGACAAGATGTACTTTACTACAACTTTTTTGGTTCCTGTTTTTGTTTCTTCAGATGATTCTGTAAAACCAAATATGACTTTAAAGGCCAAGATTACAGATCCAGAAGTAGTGTTTGTTGCAAACCTGACGAAGGCTGATGCTCCTGCTCTGACAGCCTCATTCCAGTGCAGTCTGTCTCTGTCATCAACCAAACTCCACCAGATGATGAAAGCTTCTGTGAGAGATCTTAAACTGTTTGCTTGCCCTTTTCTCAGAGAAAAGAGAGGAAAAAACATTACTACAGTAAGAATTATCTTAAATTCCAAGTTTGGATTATATTCTAAGAATAGCAGAAATGGTATATCTTAGAATCCTAGAATGTGAGAACTCTATAGAACTTCAGAGATTATTTCTATAAACTTGAGATTTCACAGATTAAGGATATTCAGTTCCAAAGATGTTAGATGATTTTGCCATGGCTGCTAGCGACAGAAATGGGGATTGCCTCCAGACTGGTTTTCTTTACATTCTACCATCTTCTGTTGAACAGTATTGAATTTTAGTAGAAATCCAAGATTCCTTTTCAGCTGTTTATCTTTTGTTCACCATGGAATAGCCAGTGAGTGAATAAATATTAAAATCTTTAATCTGAACAACAAAAAAATTCAGTTAGAGTAATGTGGCCAAAAGAGATTGTGTTTTGCTGTATTAAAAGTTACTTTCAATTATGTTTTCACATTATTATTACAAATATGATTTTAGTTAATTAACTTAATTGCCACACCAAGTATTCTTTAATGTTAAATTCATAATTTTTGTGTTGAAGAGGATCATTATGTCACTCATTTACAGTGTTATTTCAAATTTTAAAAAATTTGTGGACAATGTGACTTGCATAAAAAAGTGCAGTGCTGGCTAGGCATAGTCTGTACTTTATCATGAAGCATACTTTAGCGGGATCCTCTTTTGACATGTCACAGAAAGCTTATATATTAATCAGTCCCTTAAAAGCTCATCCTAACTTCTTTTAATGAAAGTTATACAGTACTAATTCCCCCATCCAATTTAGGTACAAGGTTATTTTATTATTTAATGATATGTAAGAATATAGCTTTCATAATTTTAATAAATCATTGAGTTTGAAGATTTGAAATTTATTCTTATAAGGACCTTAAATGATACTCAAGATTGACTTGTGAAGTCATCTGGAAAGTGTTCATTTACCTAACTTACTGTAGCCTTGTAGCCTTTTTTTTTAAAGGTTTTGACTATTTGTTTAAAAGAATAATTTCCTGTAATTTAGCAGTCAAAAACTACAATAAAATTAATTTCATTTCCTCATGTACCTCTTTGCAAATGTAAAACCTTACCAGACTTTACCTCATTTTTATGGATATATGTTAAAAGTGTATTTTATTAAGAACTAATTTAAAAGATACTGTAGCAAAAGGAAACATTTTAAAACTCATTTACAGTGTTGTTTTTAATTTTAAAAAAGTAGCAAATGTGCATCATTATTTAAGAATTTGGCATAAAGGAACTGATCAGAACTGCTTGAAGTCCTTTTACAATGTTCACAGATTTGTCATAGTTCGGAAGAGCCTTCACAAGTGATTCTCAGCAAATTTAATTTGCCTTTTTGCTTTTAGTAGTAGGCTGTCATTAAAGAACTCAAGTAAGACTTGTTTTTACAAGTGCATATTAAATATATAACAGATCTTTTACTAAGGAAATGTGAATTTCATTTACTTGTTTCTAGGTCTTACAACCCTGTTCTTTGTTTATGGAAAAATGTATATGGGCTTCAGGAAAACAAAATATAAGTATCAAAGTTAGAGAATTCATAATTAAGGTTAGTGCCTATTATATTATTTTTCTTACAATATCTTTTGATGTCTTTCATAGCTAGAACATTATGCTAGTCACATATTCAGTAATTAATAAATAGCTCTAACATGAAAATACACTTTTCTTTAGTGCAAGTATTTGTTTTCCTTAAAAGAGTACTTTTAAATATGTACAAATGATCAGGACAGTTTTTATCTTTTATATTTGCATGTATGTATTGGAGAGAGTATTTGGGGAGGTCAGCTGCAATGAGGTGGGAAGAGAAGGGAAAGAAGGATGGAAAATGATCTTGCTTTTGTTCTATTTTAGTAAGTTAATTTACAGAATTCTATTGAGGTATAATTTGATAATGTTTGATAATGTGATTAAATGTTTTATTTGGCTTATAAAATATTTGTAATAATAGATGTATGCTAGAAATAAATTATTATGGTTTACTTCTTTTTATTTCTTACATTTGAGGTATTGAAAAAGCAATCTCTGCACTGGCATTCTTATTCTTTAACTGTGACCTCATGATCAATCGATTGTAAATAGAAGATATAGAATACTTTCCAAAAATCTATTTTCTGTCCAGTGGACACAAAATTGACATAGTTAATATCAGTTCAGATAGTAGTTTTACCAGCAGTAAAAAGCCAATAATAATTAAATCAAGGTACAAACTAATGTCATTTGAATTACCACATAAATATCGGTGTAATTTTCTTCCAATATTTAAAAATAGTAAATAGTCTTATGTTGCATTTTTGTTAATGGATTTACTTTTTTAAAGACTAAAGTAGTAAAAGGGGGAAGTTCTTGAATTTTGCATATGTACTTTGTCTAAGACATTAGGTTAAGGTGCTTGGGATATTTGTCTTTCTTTTTCTTTTTATCAGTTTGTTTATTCAGCAAACAGTTTTTTGAGCCCTTACTACTTACAAAAAGTCCCATATAAAGCATTGAGAATACATGGTCCCCGCCTTCAAAAAATTTAACAACATACATGAGAGAAAGAAGTCAGTGATTCCAGCCATCAGTGCTAGAGGCATGCATGAGATGCTGTTGGGATCTCAGGCAAGGTGTCTCTAACTCAGACCAGGACAGCAGGGAAAGATGTCTTGAATTGAATTTTGGAAATGTGATGGATGTTGGAGAGGGAGAAGATGGGTTATCCAGACAGAACTGACAAATGCACAAAGGCAGAGGTGTGTAAAATCTATGGACTTAAAGGGGTTGATCCCATATGGCTAGAGAGAATGGTGTGATGGAATTTTAAGACTGAGAGCACAAACTATAGGTGACATTAATAAGGCAAGGACATAAAAAGGATCCAGTTGGCAGGTAAGTTTGGGAAGCAGTGCATACCAGATCCTTCTTTTGGTGATATAATCATATCTCTTTAATCCAGTATTGCTCAAACTTTGGGAAACCCTAGCTAGCTAATTGTTTAGGCATGGTGTCACAAAGAACTTCATTTCCTAAGCTAAGTGGGTTTGAATTTTGTCCTGAAAGTTATGAGAAGTTGAAGATTTTAAGCATAGGAGTGATGTGTTCAGATTAAAGTTTTAGAAAAATCATGAGAGGCTGCTGACTGGACATAGAAGACATCAGCAGTGTAAAACTAAGGCACAGTAATAGGAATGAGGAGGCGAGTAAAGATATTATCCAGAGATAACAAGGGGTAGAATTTGCAGATCTTAGGGTAAGTGGAAGGGGATCCATGGTGATTCTTAGCCTTCCTGGTCAGTAAGACCATGTATGTATATCTTGATGAGGGAGGATCATGTATTTTGTTTTAGTTAATGCAGCTGGTTGAAAAATGAAAACTTTTACATATTTCTGTTGACATAACTCTATTTTATTCTGAGTTGATGAGTTTAACTTTGGGTTTTGACGATTGACATATAATGTTAATTAATCTCCTGGTAACATAGAAATCATTGCTATGAGGTTAGTTGATTTGACACAGGATTTTGTGTGTTCTCTCATTTTCCTTAGCAATTTAATATATTTAAAACTTTAGTTTTTAACTTTTGTATTATGTATTCTTCTTATCTGGGACAGCATTTACTCAATTTTTTTCTGCTTTCTTTTTTAAAGATTTCACCCATAATTCTTAATACTGTGATGACAATCATGGCCGCTATGTCTCCAAAGACAAAAGAAGATGAATGCAAAGATGTATCTAAGGAAACAGAAAATCTTTGGGGTATCAAATCTATTAGTGATTATAACTCTTGGTTTCTTGGTGTTGACATGGCAACAGAAATAACAGAAAATTTTACAGACACTCAACATGCTCTGATAGAGGAAAATTGTGCTCTTGTTGTTGAGTCAATTCAAGTTACCTTAGAATGCGGCCTTGGGCATCGGACCGTACCTTTATTATTGGCAGAGTCTAAGTTTTCAGGAAATATTAAAAACTGGACTTCCCTAATGGCTGCTGATGCTGACATGACACTAGAGGTATGATCACATCATTTAATACCTCCAGAGCCAATTTCTAAAACTATAATTGCATAATTAACACGTGAGCTTTTCTTGTTTGTGATGGCCACTCCAAGTGCATATGTGAGTAGATAAAACATTCTAACATTTAAATTATTGATGCATAGTATTATTTATTTGGACATAATTTTTTAAAAGATTATTTTTCTGCATAATTTGTTGATGGCAATGAAGTAAAAGAGTACAGGGAAAATGTACCTACCCTCTTTATATATGTTCTTTGTGTCTTTAGGTATGTTGTTAAAATGGCTCTTGGCATATAACATTAATTACTTGATATGCCTCCTATTTGTTACAGAATTATGTAGTTAAAGTTAAAAGACTGTTATTATAATTCTGTGCCTTTCCAGGTTCACTACTATAATGAAGTCCATGCTGTTTGGGAACCACTGATTGAGAGAGTGGAGGAGAACATTCAGTGGAATTTAAGACTTCATGTAAGGAAACCATAAAGTATCTTTATATAGAATGACACTATTCACATTCATTTATGTTTTTGCTAAACACATTCATATGTATTTTTTAGTTCACTGATTCTCGAGATGTATTAGCATCCTTGAGGCCCTTTTAGGGGGTCCATGGGGTCAAAACTATTTTCGTAATAATACTCAGCTATTATATATTGTTTTCATTCTTATGCTCTAATGAGCCTACAATGGAATTTTCCAGAGACTATGTAATATTATAACAGAATGAATATAGGAGCAAAAATCAACCCACCTGTCTCCTCTTAAAGCAGGCACTGAAGAGATTTGTAAATGCCTCTCTTCTCACTATATATTTTTAGTTGTTATTTTTAAATGAACATTTGAAATCTTCTCAGTTTTAGTTCCTAATAGGGTGCACATTAGTAGACAAAAGAAGCTCTTTGGGATCCTCAGTGACTTTAGGGACCAAAATATTCAAGAACTGCTATTCTAGTTTATGAATTCTTTCTGTTTTGTCTTTGTAGTACTTCTTGAGAACAGTTCAGAATCCTAGATATGAGTACATTTTTCGAAATTAAAAGGATCATGAATCACATACCCTTAACACATCATCCCGGTATAGCTCTCCCAGCAGGGGGACTGAAGTGTGAGCCACTGAAACTGACTCAGCAGATTCTTACCAACTCTGAGTACTTGCCTGGCCCACTTCTCAGCGTTGTCCCATGTTGACTGTACACTGAAAGAAAGAATGCTGATTGTTGCTAAACCAAAGTGTAGCACTTAGTACTTTTGAAAATGAGTCTGAGTACCCTTAACATAAAATGACCAGTTAAGGAGAATTTAACTCTATTGAGAGTTTTTAAATTTTATTATTAATTGGATAATAATTTAAATTTTTGTGTGATTTGTCCTCAGGTAAAGAAGAATCCAGTCCAGGACAAAAGTTTGATGCCAGGAGATGATTTTGTTATTCTTCCTCAGCCACAAACAGCAATTCATATTTCTTCAGGAGATACAATGAATATAACAATATCCAAAAGTTGTCTTAATGTTTTCAACAATTTAGCCAAAGTATGTTTGGTTTTTGCTTAAAATATTTCAAATAGAATTTTAAATGAAGCATGTATGGATTATTTATATTCATCATCAAAATCAGTTTCCTAAAAAATGTGTAGTCATTAATTTTAGAGAACATTTGAGGTTTGCAAAAACTTTATTGTGTTGTTATGTTCCTTTTTAGGGTTTTTCAGAGGGCACTGCTTCTACTTTTGACTACTCTTTAAAAGATAGGGCTCCTTTCACAGTAAAAAATGCTGTAGGTATTCCCATTAAGGTGCAGCCCAATCATAATCTCAGAGTAATGGGCTCCCCTGAGAAAAGTGGTGTTATTGATGTTGATGCTGGTCAGAGTTTGGAATTGGAATATGCCAGTATGGAAACTTCACATCCTGGGAAACTGTCTGCATTGAGCTGCCAAGAAAGCTCCCTCTTCACCCTGACCTTTGGTATGTTATGTTTATTTTATTTCAAAGGCATTTTTGGAATTGTTGAGGTGGGCTTATTTTTTATAAAATATGAGAAAGATATTTTGCTTCAGATAACATTGGTAGCCAACTTTTCTAAAGGCTTGAAACAAATAGTTGGTAAACTCTTTTCTTCCTCTAAAATGAGAAAATTAAACTTGATTCATTTAAGAATTACCATAGAAAACAAGGTTATTTCTGTGCCCTTAAATAATACAATGTGTAGTATTTTTCAAAAAGGATGGGAGTTCAGTGAGGAGAGAAAATAACTATCTTCAGAGGTCCTAAAATATTGACAGTAGTTATCACCATTACAAAGACAAGATGATTATTGCTATATATATATAGTTGAGAGAGTAAGGAGCAAGTTTAAAACATTCAAAACTCCAAGAGAAGTTGTTTTGGGTCAAAAAATTTTGTAATAATAACCATTTTCCATTCTGTTAGTTCCTGTTGTCTTAGAAATAATATTTTGTGTAGTCATCATTTTTAGTCATGAGGAAAAATACTCTTGTCATAATTTTTGAGGTGCTGATGTTATTCTGTCTGAGAGAAATATAGGTACTTAATATTTGGAATGCTTCTCATTTATGCTTTGCCTTAGTACCTCATGGATATACAGAAGTTGCAAAAATCCCTATTGCCAGACCTGGACGGCAATTGTATAATGTACGGAATCCCAATGCCAGTTGTTCTGACTCGGTCGTGGTACAAATAGATGCAACTGAAGGGAATAAAGTAATTAGCCTTCGCTCTCCTCTGCAGGTAATGCTGTTAAAGTAAATTGTGTCCCTCCGAGTATATCAAGAAATATTAAATCATTTAGCTGAGCATAGGAATATATAAAATTTCATTAGGTCAATACTAATTATTCATAAATAAAGAATAGGTTGAACTGGCTGAACTTCCCCATCCAACTTGCTTTTTGTAATAGTATTCCTTTTAAATGTTTAATGAAACAATCTTGTTATGGTAAGCCCGTTTTTGTTTAAAATTAATAGAGCTTTTTGTTCCTTTAAAGATTCAGAACTGAGAAATATTAATAGTTATAGCTGGTTGGTAGATAGAATAACATTCCATTCTCTTTGTATATTACTTGGGATTGTAATTTTCAAGTTTGTGGTGAAGGAATATTGGAATGATTTAGAAAAATTTTAGCATCTTAATCTGTAGAAGTAGTTTCTTTTCTACCTTTAAGTCTTCATGCATTTGTCTTCTTCTCTGCATTATTACAGGTTTCAGTAAATGGTCAGCAGAAGAACATTTCTTTTTATATGTAACACTAGATAAAAATGAAAAGATTTCAAATTTTGGCCATTGTTCTTTCTCAGGTTGCTTTGAGCTCCAGCCTATATATCATATTGTAGTCAAGGAAAGAAAATTGTATTACTTTTCCTCACATTTCTTTTGCTATACTTTTTTGTTTAGTCTCATAGTACATTGAGGAAATTGTCGTAATGAAGAAATATCGTGGAGAAAAAAAGGAGAAAATACCATGGCTGAAATCTTTAAAGATTAATACATCTTTAAAGATAATATTATACACTAACAATAAACATCAGCATGTAATATATAGAGCATGTGAATATCCTAAAAATTTTCAACTGTCACTTAAAGATCAAGTTTCATATATGTAGCAGTTAAATACTCTAAAGTTTTCTATTACCAATAAAAATATCTTCTAGTATTGGGCTTGAAACATTTTAGATCTAAAAGTAATTGTGTGTAGCTCAGATTTTTCTTTTGAATCTCTACATCTTTCTAAACAACTTGTATGTCTTTTACCCAACAGATTAAAAATCATTTCTCTATTGCATTCATCATCTATAAATCTGTTAAAAATGTTAAGCTACTGGAGCGCATTGGAGTAGCCAGACCTGAAGAGGAGCTCCATGTTCCTTTACATTCATATAGGTAGGTACTTCCTTGAATATACAAAGTTTTAAAAGGTTCATTAAATATACTTAAAATTCTGTAATTGGGATCTATACTCTAGAAAAATAGTCACTTCAAATACAAAGGCAATGAAAATAAAAATAGGTATCAGAAAATTGTAAAATATCAAATATATTACCACAAGAAATTTTCATCTGGTAAATTCAATGATACTGTAAATGTATTTCTCTGTAACTATATGTCTTTAAACTGGCTTTTATAGATCTTTAGAAAATAAAAATATGACATTTTTTTTTAAGTTATCATGGTTTGCAGAGTGTTTTTTTTTTTTTTCCAGAAAGTTTCTCCATGAGTTAGCTATGTGACTTTTGGCAAATTTCTTAACCTTTCATTGCCTTGTTTTCCTCATCTTTAAAAATAGGAATAATAGTACTTACCTTGTAAAGTTAACCAAAATTTAATGAGATCCTTTTTATTAAACTCTTTATAAAAGCTTTTTCTAACTCTGTTTTCTTTTTCTGTAGAAGCCAATTATTTATTCAGCCAGCTGGTATCTTAGAGGATCAATACAAAGAATCCACCACTTACATTTCCTGGAAGGAGGAACTTCACAGGTGCAGGGAAGTCAGATGTGTGCTGCAGTGTCCATCAGTTGAAGTCAACTTCTTACCTCTCATAGTCACTACAATTGCTGTGCCTGATGAATTAAGCTATATATGTACACATGGAGAAGACTGGGATCCAGCTTACATTATTCACCTGTATCCTACCCTCACTTTGCGGAATCTTCTTCCATATTCCCTAAGGTATTTACTTGAGGTATGTCCCTTCTATTTGACTTGACTTTTCTTATTGGTGTCGAGTGAATTCTAGTTTTTTAATGGTATTTTCAGTTGAGGTTAGTGTTTTACATGGCATACTTGTAATGCTTTAATAATACTAGCAGAAATTGGTATAGCATTTACTATGGGCCAGCCACAGTACCATGTACTTTACATGTACTAGCACTTTTCATCTTTATAGTAACCTCCTGAAGTAGGTACAATTGTTATACCCATTGTACAGATGGGTAAATAAACTGAGTCATAGGGTTTAAGGGACTGGCCCAAGATCCCACAGCTAATAAGCTGTAGAGCTGGGATTGGTCCTAGGCAGTTTGGCTCTTTGTTCCCTACCACCAAACTTCTGCATGTGCTATAAATTAAGAGCCAGTCTCTTTTCAATTAAGTAAAAGTCCATTGGGTAAAGGATAGAACAAAGCCAGCGAGAAAACATTTCATCTTATTTTATTGTACAGTTAATTCTAAAGTTTTTGATGTAAAGTTGGATTATTTGGTCTAGGTTTCTGTTGAACTTAAAAATAATCTGTTTTAAGAAATAATGGGAAACATTTCCTAGTAATGAAGTATGATAAATATTTTTTTAATTTCTATGTGCCACAACATTTTAAGATACAAAAGTCTGAAAAATGTTTGGAAACTAAATTATTTCTTCTTTATCTGACAATGAGCTACCCCTGAGCTGTGGAGAGTAACATTTAAGTATATGAATTAAATAATATTTATATGAGAGAAGCTTTTAGTAAGGAAGTCTGATTTTTTATGTTGCTATTACTCATTTTTAATATAATTCCCCCTTACTTAAATAGCTTGTCAAAATAGTTTGATATTATTTTCCTTTTTCTATTTGAATGAGAACCATTAAGCATAGTATGTGAATAAAGGATGAAGCTGAAATCCAGGCAGCCTAGTGACTCATTTAATGATGTTGTTCTTAATGGACAGCAGCCAGGGTTCCTGAATCCAGCCTTCAATTTTTAGCACACATCTGACTTTCTCAAAACTTACTGCCATAGGCCTACTAATGGCTAAAAGACAATTTCTACCTTTGGTTATGATTATAGTGTTTTGTTTTTAGTCCTTAGCGGTTACTGGACATTCATGATATGTAAACATGGTACTCATAGAAGACTTGTCAATTAGAATCTGGTAGATTATTTAGCATTGTATAAAATATGGAAGCCTATTGCAGAGGTTTTAAAAAAATTGCTGAGCAAATTTTGTTCTTTGTTGGTTTATTTTTAGGGAACAGCAGAAACGCATGAACTAGCAGAAGGCAATACTGCTGATGTTCTACATTCAAGGATCAGTGGAGAAATAATGGAATTAGTCCTGGTGAAATACCAAGGCAAAAATTGGAACGGACATTTCCGTATATGTGACACACTTCCCGAATTCTTTATCGTGTGTTTTTCTTCTGATTCCACGGAAGTGATGACAGTCAATCTGTCAATACATGTCAAGCGAATTGGCAGCAGGCTGGTGTTATCTGTCTTTAGTCCCTATTGGCTAATCAACCAGACTTCTCGGGTTCTCCAGTATCGTTCAGAAGACGTTCATGTGAAGCATCCAGCTGATTTCAGGGATATTATTTTGTTCTCTTTCAAGAAGAAGAACATTTTTAGTAAAAATAAGGTATGTTTTTGTTGATATAACAAGTTAAAATAGATAGGTTCATAATCTGGAAATTTGGGAATCATTAGCCTTCCCTAAAGCCATTACTACCTGTTTGCTAAGTACCACTGGTATGAATTAAGTCCGAGGAGACTTTCAAGGAATATGTAATCAAGTGGGATGTTAGGAACTAACAGCAGTAGTTTCCCGAGGCTGAGTTACTCTTTTCTCCAGTACCCTTAGAATTCTGTTTTTGAAGTAGTTTGAGGTAGAAAGCTTGATTTTGTGTAGTTTAGCAGTGACAAAGTGGCATTTCAAAAGATGAACAGTTGAATATGGCGTATATTAACTGGGTCCTCCAGTGTATGAAGCCCTAAGCCAGGCTTTTGAGAGAGAAATCTAATGCCTAAGCCTGGTGCCTCTGAGCTCCGGTCGCTCCTTTGCTTTTTAGGCTCCTGGTCGGTGTTCCTTAACACACACTTCCCTGCCTGCTCGCCTCTGGGCTGCTGTACATGCTGTATCCTCTGCCTGGAATGCCTTTCCTACTAGGCTTCCCTATCTGCCACATCTTTTCTGGTTATCTGCTGTTTATCTTTTGGCGTTCTGCTCAGGCCTGACAGGTGTGAAGGATTTTCTGACCATCTAAAATGTGGCTAGATATTACATCCATGTTCTCACAGTAGTGGTTCCTCAATTTCAGTGTGCTTCAAATTTATGGATTTTCAAAATCAGTGGTTTTCAGATTTCAGAGTCACTTAAAGGGCTTTTAAAACAGATTGCTGGGTTGTGCCCCTACAGTTTGATTCATAAGTCTGGGAAGGGCCTGAGAATTTGCATTTCTAACAGGTTCCCAGGTGATGGTGATGGTCCTGGTCCAGGGACCACACTTTGAGAAATACTGTCTTTGAATGTTGATTAATCCTTCATATTATATGTTTGTATGTTTGACCTCTGATTATCCTCATGTCTTTTATAATCTAACTGGAGGGTTGGAGGTTAATACAGAAGCACAGTTAGGTCTCTTCTATAAATTTTTTCTAAATTCTGTACCCAAAAAGCAGACTCTTTCCCCTCTGACTTTTATAACATTTTGTACTTTCTGTATGGTTCTTACTGCATTGTGTTTTACATCACAATTACTCGTATGAATTTCCTATCTTCCTGTTTAGTTGGAAGCTCACTGAAGACAGAAACTATTGTCTTCCATTCTGCTTATCACAAGGCCTTTCATTTAATGTTTGCTGCATAATGTTAAAGGCATAAGTTCTCTATATGCTAATACTTTAGGAATTTGTTAGCTCTGTATCAAAAGTTTAACACTGAAAATATCATTTTACATTGTAATTCTTTTTTTTTAAATTAGGGTCTCATTGGTATAAATCTTTAAATTCATTATCCCCATCGCATATGTGAATGGAAAGATCGGAGCTCTGCTTTTATTTTACTGACCTCGACAGTTTCTATTCTGTAAGCCATTTGCATTATGGCTTTGGTTCTGTTTTTCTGTGTCCCACGCTACTAAATAAATTTCTAGTGGTAGAGCAACTTTCCATCAAATAAAATTAATATTGTCTTGTTGTTTTCTTAAATGCTGGTATGTGTTCTCTGGTGTAGGTACAATTAAAAATTTCAACCAGTGCCTGGTCTAGTAGTTTTTCATTGGATACAGTGGGAAGTTACGGGTGTGTGAAGTGTCCTGCCAGCAATATGGAATACCTGGTAAGATTCTGCTTGCTTATTTATGTTCAACTTTATTTAACTTTTCTTTAGTCCAGGGTACAGAAATTTGACTTCAAAATGCTATATGAAAGATGGTTATCTCTACAGATTTCTGTGGCCACAAGTATTAAATACTGAATTTTTCAAAGTTTAAGACAGATTTGAATCCATCCAAGTAAGCAACTTGGTGAATATTCAGAGTACAGTAGAATCCTTGTTCCATGCCACTCCCTGCTAACCTTTCCCTAAATCTTAAATTTGTGAAAATTTGAATGATCTTATGCCAGTTGACCTGTTTTATCAACACTTTGAAAGTTTTACCTTACTTTATTAATAGTAGAGGTAATAAAGCAACAAAACTTGAGCCCTTACACTTCACAAAACAAAGTGTATTTGGAATGTTAAAAGGTAAGAACACAGATAAAATGCATCTGTTATTACAGATCATCATTAGTTAAATTATTTATTTCTTGAATTGATTGCTGATGGAGTCAAAGGAATGCAAATTTTTCTTCGTAGAACATAGTTAATAGTGGAGTATGGCTTATAGTGATTTTATTTAAGAAATCTTATTTTAAAATATTTTAAGAAGTCTGTGTGTGTGTGTTTCAGAGAAGGTGTATAAAGTACTGGGAAATAATAATAAGCTTGTTTCCTTTCCACAGGTTGGTGTTAGCATCAAAATGAGCAGTTTTAATCTTACACGAATAGTTACTCTGACTCCCTTTTGTACTATTGCAAACAAGTCATCATTAGAATTAGAAGTTGGTGAAATTGCGTCTGATGGGTCAATGCCAACTAATAAGTGGAACTATATTGCTTCTTCAGAGGTAAAATTTCCTTTAACTGGTACCTAAAATATACAAAGAAATACAGGAATATAAATAAGAATTGCATATACTTCTTTATCATACTCTGCTGCCGTATTTGTGTTAAAATATGACAGCCAATTTTGAAAGACTTTTCTTTCACAATGTAGCATATGTTTAAAAAAGAAAAAAAGAAAATTATTCATAATAGTTACAACTAGCCCAGCCTAGATGGTTAACACTCATTCTGAAGTTCTTCCTATATGTACAGAACATGGATAAGTACTGTGAGAAGTACATAAAGATAATGTACTTTGTATTATTTCAGTAGTCAAGATAATGTCTCTATTCAAGAAGCGCATAATCTCGTTGATGGGCTTAAGATGCATAAAAACTAACACATGGAGAGAAAGATGGTATATGCTAAGTTATAGGTAGCTACAGAATTTCTGAATAGATGAGCTAGAAGTTTCCTTGAAAAATTCCTAAAATTCAACCCCCTCACTTTACAGAGAAGGAAATTGAATCTCATACTTCTCCAGGGTCAGTAGAGTCATTGGAAATTAAAATTATTGTGATCTAGATCAAAAGGGGAAGTTTCGTAGATGAGGTGGGATTTGAACTAAACTTTGCAAGTTCAGTTAAGATTTGAGGAGTTGAAGACAATGAAAGAAAGAGTGGACAAGAGGACAAAGAGGAGCATTAGTGCCTAAATTTTGAGTTTTCAACCAAACCAGGTGCCCTTAAGGGTGGAACCATTCTTCTGTATATCTCAAAGAAAAAAGAGAGATCCTGTAATTATTTTTAAAAGCTTAACAATAAGCTTAAAAGAAAGGATTCTCATTACAATGCAAACAAATTTAGAGCTATACGAGGTATGGCCTTCCAAGGTACTTAGAGTGATCTCTGTACACTTGGGAACAAATAAATGAACATTAACTTTTTACCTTTGATGTGAGTTTGATAGCAGAGGTATTTTTTTTCAGAAATAGAATTTACCGAGTATTCTCTAACAGAGGGACATTTTGTATTATATTAGGAACTAAAATTTCAGTGTTACAGATAAGAAAACTGAGGCTCAAACAAGCATATGATTGGTGAAGATCAAACCACTAGGAAGGACTTCCTAGTAGAAGTATCAAGACTTGCAGCAAGATCTTTGGTCTTCTCTCTTCTGCCTTCAGCTGTCTTTCTGGTTTATCTAGGAGAAGATCTCTATGAAAGAATTCGTAGTTAATTAAGGAATCGAAATGTGATATGCACAAAAGCAAATGTTATTGAAGATTTTAGTTTTTAAATATTCAAAATATCTATTTGAGGAATTCTTAATAAGCTCTTCAATCTCCCACATTGTAGCTATTTCATAAGTACATACAGACTAATGTATCTATATTCTTCTAATGGAGTTTCTTAGCTTCATAAATAGTCATCATATCATCAACTCTTATTATGAAATGTGGAGGGAATATTTCAAGATACTTAATAATAATTGACTCATGATCAGATTCAGAACTAAAAACTTAATTAGCGACTGTCTTATTTATTACACAGTATGGTTTTAAGACTGATGTTAACTTTTATATTTTTAGTGCCTTCCGTTTTGGCCTGAAAATTTGTCAGGCAAACTTTGTGTGAGAGTGGCGGGCTGTGAAGGATCATCCAAACCATTTTTTTATAACCAACAGGATAATGGCACTTTATTGAGCTTAGAAGACCTGGTAAGTTTTCATGTTTTAAAATAAAATGTCTTCGATTTTTAAAATTTGCTTTAAAATATGCTATCCAATCTACTGGTAATTATTTGAAGGTGCTGCTGTATCAATATGTAATACCATATATGTGTGTATATATACGTATTTATACACACACACACACACACACACACACATATCTGTAAGAGATCAGAGCTGGTGTGCTTCTCAGTAAGAACGTAAGAAAACAAGCTTTTTGTTTCTACATAACTGATTGAAATACGAAATGTAAGTGCAGGTTGAATTGGTACCTCAAACAAACTTTTTTCTTTCTATTATAGAATGGGGCTATCTTGGTGGATGTAAACACTGCTGAACATTCGATTGTCATAACTTTTTCTGATTACCACGAGGGATCTGCACCTGCCCTAATAATAAACCACACACCATGGGACATCCTCACATATAAGCAGAGGTATGAAAAAAGGGTTCATTGAAAATTTAATTTGCTTTTAATGGCCTGTAATACATTCTAGGAAAAACTTGGGGCTAGATGAGTTTCATACTCCAAATGTTTCCAGATTTTAGAAAGGTAATGTGGAACGCTTGCTGTTACTGATGTCCTCAGCAGGTTTTTGACACAGTATTAATGAAACACATTAATACTATTGTAGTGAAAGTTATGAATATGCATACCAAATGGGATAAATAAAAACATAATCATCTCACATCAGTTCACATCAGGTTTTGCTGCCAGATGACTTTTGACACCAAATTTATAGAAAAATCTATGGACTTTTGGAGCTTTTTAAATACAGAACTGCATATAAGGAACTGTGAATGTGCTTAAGCATTATCTTCCTTTTGTCACCTGGTAATGTTCAGTGAACCTCTACTTAGAAATGCTTACCTAGGTTTTTTTGGTAGGGGTGGTGGAATATTAAATAAGAGAACAGCGAGTTAATAGTGATGTTGAATGTATAGTACAGAGTGATAGGAATTTTGTTGTTCCTGCCTATACTGTTATTTGTCTTGGATGATGACTTTATTTAATGATGTATGACAGATAGTACTAAAACCTCAAAATATATATATTTGCAGAGAAATACTATAAATCTGCAACACATTTTATATAAAATAATTCTCTATATAAAAACCATTATATAAAGTACTTTTTATAAAAATAAGAAAAAAATAAAAATATATAAAATAATACCTTGCAGATCCAGCTATTCTTAATTCTCATGGGTTGAATCCACTGAGAAATTTAAAAGCAGAGATTGGGATTGAAACCTGATTGGGCTTTTTTTTTTAATTCTCTGAAAAGTTTTTTGTATTATATGGACCAATACTTCTTAAACTTGGATGATAAATTTTAAGATCTCCTGGAAATCTTGTTCAAATGCAGATTCTGATTTAGTTGGTTTTAAGAGGGGCCTATGATTTTGCATTTCCAGCAAGCCTCTAGGTAATGCTGATTCACAAAACACACTTTGAGTAGCAACATTAGAACTCAGTTTGAAAGTATACTGCAACCAAAGAAAGGGCAATATTCAATTCCCTCAAACTTTAAAACCATTAGTTTATTGGATATTGTAAGGTACTTAATTGTAGGCAGAGTTTTATTTTATTAACAAAGGGAATTTTGTAAGATTTTTGTGCCAGTCCAGTCCTCGCTAAAACACAGGTTTGGCCTTCCCAAGTGCAGGATGTTTTTAATCTTTCCTCTGTCTCTGTGTTTCAGTGGATCACAGGAAGAACTGGCATTGCTGCCAAGACAAGCTCGACTTTTCGCCTGGGCTGATCCTACTGGTACCAGAAAACTGACATGGAGTTACGCAGCAAATGTTGGGGAGCACTATCTGTTAAAGGTATCCTTTGATGTGAAAGAGTGCTACGCGAGTTGCTTGATGGCAAAGGAAGTACACAAGCTCACTTCCTACGTGACTTAACATAGTCATCTTTGTCTTTACTGAACAAAATGAATTGGAAGTATTTTCAAAGTAATTTACTTTTGGAATTCAAATTGTAAATAGTTCATGCCAATATATTAGATTAGTTAAAATAATTTATTTACTATTAAAAAAATTGGTCTGTTTATTTTACCCCAATAAAGAGCAATAAAGTAATTTTTTATTTACCTTTTTTTAAAAATTTAAGGTAAGTGTAAAACAACTTAATTTTGAACATATGCAAACCACTGATTGCTATGAGGTTTTTAGGCATGTTTCCCAATCAAAGCCATATGTTTTGTTAATTAAAGGACCCTAACAGTATGAAAATTATCCCACATAAGAAATTAAATGAAATATTTATTGAAACAATATTTAGGCAGCTAAATTAATCAAATATTTATTTCTTAGACTTTTTAGACTTTGGAAAGGGCTTAAGAATTCATTTGCCAGCCTTCTTCTAATAAAGGAATTACGCCTGCATTCGTGATACATCATCTAGGTTCTATAGGAATATATTCTGTCATGAAAAGTTCTTAGTGTCATATTCCATTGTCTGATAATACCACTTGTTAAAAAGGCTTTTTTGACTTTTGCTAAAAAATGCTAATTGGCCAACAGTGACTGAATTATCCTCTCCTACATTCCTCTGAAACACCCATAAAAGAGATAAAGACAATCACTTTTGAAAAATCAGACTGATAGTTCCTATTATGAGATTCTTGGAATAATTTTCACCGTAACAGTTTGATAGAGCTCTGTTGGCTTGCTTGTGCTTTACCTTTTACAGTAGAGGAACTCTTCAAGGTTTGTAAGTGGAAGAAGAGGCGGGCTTAAATTCCCTGACATTCTGAACTCTCTGGCTCAGACACATGAGGGCCCTGCTAGGGGTCCCTGTACTATGCTGGAACTATTTTCTCTCTTTTCACATTTAATGCTATTCAGCAACCACAGGAGTAGTATACAGACCCTAGAGGGGAAGTAGGAATGGCATCCCGGAGGACGTTATCAAGGTCTGCATACACAGATGGATTCAGAAAGAATCCTGGTTATAATGTATGCAGGGGATTATGAGTTTCTTAATGTTTTTCTTCTATTTGCTATTAGAAAAACAGGCTATTAGGAAAACTAAATAATTGTACCTCTGCACATAATTTGCCAGATTATGAAAACTGAGGTAGAAAGAAACAAGGCAGTTGCCCATTTCCTTGTTCACTAAGTTGGTCCGCGAAGGGAGTTCTGCTCAGGCCCAGGTAGAGATGACAAGAGAGATGAGGGAAAATCCATATGTTATTGGCAAACACGAGGTCTGAAAGATCTTTCCTCATTAAGTGTGAATAAACAGGAAAAAAACAACATGGGGTCTATGAAAAAATACTTCAGGAGAAAACTGGCGAATCCGATAGATTCAGAGAATGATTATACCTCTGAAAAATTTTTTAATGCAAGAGGACCAGAAGAAAAATTTAAATTATAAAACTATAACTTTATAATGAAGTTTAATTACATTAAAGTTATTTAACTTTTATTTATTAAATTAGTAACTTGATAAAAATTATAAGAAGAAATCTTAAGTTACAAAGATCTGAAAACTATGAAATAAGAGAAAGCATGGTGAAATAAAGACAGTGAAAGCAGTGGGAACTATATATTCCCTGTATACATATTTATATCATCCAATTGTAAATTTAAATTAGAGAAGTAAATATTAAAGATTATGTTTTTTTCAGAAATGCTACCAATTAGTAGAACTAAAATCAGTGACATAAGAATTTTAAAACAATTGAGAAAATTAAAGAAAATTTTGCCCACAGAGTAAAAGAAGGTAAGCTAAGGAAGTATATAATAAGTGACAGATACTTTTGATTGAGTGTGTATCATGTGTTAATGTTTTCAGATATTATCATTAATTCTTATGATTGAAACTTAAAGCTACAGGTTAGAATTCAAAACCAGGTCTTTCTGACTTCACAGTTCATGGACTTTTTCACTGAATCATACTTTGCATCAGTTATGTCAGTAAATGAAAATCATTTAAATATTCTTCTATTAAAAGACAGAAAACATGTTAAGTTAAAAAAAAGTATCTAAATATATGCTACTTACAAGAGATCTGTCTTAACCAAACTAACACAGAAAGTTATAAGCATTTAAGGGATGGTAAAGATTTAACAGGTAAACAAAGCAAAATTGTTCTTGTAATTTCTGAACAACTATAATTCAAAGCAAAAACCATTAAATAAAATATGATAATATGACAGAAAAGATACGTGTGCCGTAAACCTTTATACAATGAATAATATTGCACCAAAATGTTGAACCTAAAATGGCAGTCAGCTGAAACACAATTATTTGTTGTGGAGACATTTTAATGCACCTCATTTAATTTTTAACAGATCAAGTAGATGTAAAATAAATGGGATTAGGATTGAACCAATATACATGACAAATTTTGTAGTTACAAAGAAAAATTACCTTAATGGGTATCTCTGAAATATTTACAAAGTTTGATTGTATATTAGAGAAAAAATATTGGGTAGGCTACTCTGACATGTTAAAGGTAATATAAAAAAAAGCAACATAATTTTAAGCAACAACAAAACTCATTCCTATGCTTTTTGTAAATCCATTGTTTTTTTGTTTTTTCAAGAAAGCATGAGATGAAAAGCACATAGTAGGAACTTGTACTGTTTGTTGAAATGAACTGTTATATGTATGTTAAGCTCAGAACAAGGAGGAATCATTATTTTAATCTCTGAAAACACTGATCAAATCAAGCCTTATTATTTTAGGTGCTATAGGAGACCTTCAGCCAAGAAAGCTATTCTTTGTGAAACTTAGTACAGAGTACATATTTTGACTATTTGATAATGCAATTTATGTAAATATTTGCAGTGTTACAAATTATTAAAACACAAGTAAATTAGGTGAGTTTTACCTGAGGTTACTTCTCCAATAAACGTATGAACCATTCTGTTCTCCGTCTTGGAGACGAGTAAGCTTCTCATGATGTTGGGTGCCATTGAAGGATACTATTGATCCTGCTGAGTGCCCTTTAAGCACTAACTAGCTAACTCAAACCTAAGTTATAACAAAAGTCAAGCACTATTAATCTTTGTTGTAGTTTGAAAAAATTGGTATGTTTTAAAATAGATTATAACATCATGTCATTTTGATAGTTTTCCAATGTATAGTCATGGTTTTTAAACTTTTTTAAGCGTTCTCAGTTAATGTTAACTTTGTGTAAAAACTTACTGTTTGTGGGTTTAATATAAAGTATCTCTTTTTCCAGGATGAACATGGACAGTTCCCATATAATGCGAACATCCAGATACACTGGGTATCATTCCTAGATGGACGCCAGAGAGTTCTGCTTTTCACTGATGATGTTGCCTTGGTTTCCAAAGCAAAGCAAGCAGAAGAAATGGAGCAGGCCAATCACGAAATAATCTTTTCTCTCCATAGTCTTGGGCTTTCACTGGTTAACAATGAAAGCAAGCAGGAAGTTTCATATATTGGGATAACCAGGTATGTAAAAAGGAAGACAGGGCATCAGAAGTCTTTAAAAAACATTGAGCTTGTAATATCAAATTTGATAAGAGTGAACAGATAGTCATTCTGTTTTGATACACTGTACATTCTTTCAGCATAGCTCACTAAACAGCTGTTTTCACTGCTAAGTTGAAAAGCCCCTGAGATGAGAGATGACTAAGATAATGTCTTTGCCCTTAAAATACTCATCATCAGTTGGTGGGGACAAAAGAAATTTGCTTCTGTCTTTGTTGTTCATATGTAATTTTTTAGATGAATCCTAAAAACATTGAGAAATGCTAGAAAAAGTATTTTATAAGTACCATGGAAGCAGAGGTAGAAGCAATTAACTTGTTTTGTGCAGCAGAAGCTGGAGAAATGGCATGGTTCAGGAGAAGCCAACAATAATGGATTAGATAAATTAGAAAAATGTTCATATAAGAGAGAGTATTTGACATGGTTGCATAATCTCTAATGGGTCGTTACTTAGAACTTTTTAAAAGACGGGACCAGTTATTTTCTCTGGCTCTGCTTGTGTCTGTATAAGAAAAATTTTTGAATCTATTTACTTTGTTTTTTTAAATCACATAACTTCAGTTAAAGACTTATTCTTGTTTTGGGGGTAGATGGGTAGAATAGTTAACATGTTACCACATATAATGAGCATAGGATCAATTCATAGTCATATATTTAGTAAAGAAAAAAATCAATAAATCTTCTGTGTAACATTTTCCACATCTGACAGATTAAGAGTACTATAAATGATAATATACATACCATTAATATAGTCATTGATATTGTTCTTTGATAGACCTTACTTTTATTATAGTAGCATATATGCTATTATATTTTGTCAAATTGACCTTTATAAGAACTTTTTTAAATGTGTCTAAAAGAACTTGATTACCTTTTTTCTAATACACACATATTCATAACACATTCATTAAGGATGTGTATTAAGGAAAAATAAGTTCATATTTTAGTAGACTTTTTTGAATAGTTTTAGGTTTATAGAAAAACTGAATATAAAGTAAAGAGTTCCTATATACCCATCACTTTCTCCTATTATTATCTTGAAATAGTTTGATACATTTATTATTGATAAACTAATCTTGATGCATAATTATTATCTAAAATCCATTGTTTATGTGTTCATGCTAGAGTTTGTTCTTTGTGTTACAAATTCTATGGGTTTTAACATGTATCCACCATTGTAGTATATAGAATAGTTTCACTACTCTAAAAATCACCTATGCTCCATCTATTCATCTCTTCCTCTCTCCCCCACCCCCTGGGAACTGATTTTTTTTTATTGTCTCTAAAGTTTGCCTTTCTTAGAGTGTCATATCATTGGAATCATATAGTGTATAGCCTTTTCATATAGGATTCTTTAACTTAGCAATATCCTTTTAAGGTTCCTCATCTTTTTGTGGCTTGATAACTCATTTCTTTTTTTCACTGAATAAAATCCTATGTTTGAATGTACCACAGTTTATTTATCCATTCACTTATTGAAGGACATCTCAGTTGCTTCCAGGTTTTGGCAGTTAGGATTAAAGCTGCTATAAACATTCATGTGCAGGTTTTTGTGTAGACATGTTTTCAAATCATTTGGAGTATCAAGGAATGTGATTGTTGGATCATATAAGAGTATGTTTCGTTTTCTAAGTAACTGCCAAGTTGTTTTCCCGAGTAGCTGCACCATTTTGCATTCCCGCTGGTAATGAGTGAGAGTTCTTGGCTCCACATCCTTGCTAGTGTTTGGTGTTGTCCGTGTTCTAGATTTTGACTGTTAATAGGTACGTAGTGGTAATTTCATTGTTGTTTTAATCTGTAATTACCTGATTACATATGATGTTGAGCATCTTTTCATATGCTTATTTTTCATCTGAATATCTTTTTGGCTGAGGGTCAGATTTTTGACCATTTAAAATTTTTTCATTTTCTTGTGGTTGAGTTTTAAGAGTTCTTTATGTAGTTTGGATACCAATCTTTTATCAGATCTGTATTTTGCAAATATTCTCTCCCAGTCTGTAGTTCATCTTTTCGTTTTTCTGACAGTGTCTTTCACAGAGAAGTTGTTTTAATTTTAATGAAATCCAATACCAGTTTTTTCTTTCATGGGCTATACCTTTGGTGTTGTATCTTGAAAGTCATCATGAAGCCCAAAGTCATTTAGAGTTTTTTCTGTGTCATCTTCTACGATTTTATAGTGTTTTTAATATGTAAGTCTATAATCCGTTTGAGTTAATTTTTGTGAAATGTGTGAGCTCTGTGCCTAGATTCACTTTTTTTGCATATGAATGTCCAATTGTTCTGTTACCATTTGTTGAAAAGACTGTCCTTTCTCCATTGAATTGGCTTTGTTCCTTTTCAAACATCAGTTGCCTTCATTTGTTTAGGTCTGTGTCTAGATTCTCAATTCTCTTCTCTTGATTTCTTTGTCTTTTCTTTCACCAATACCACACTGTTTAGATTTCTGTAGTTTTATGTTAGTCTTGAAGTTAGGTGGTGTCAGCCCTCCAACTTTTTTCTTCTCCTTCAGTATTGTATTGGCTATTTTGAGACTTTATCCTTTTCTATGTAAACTTTAGCATCAGTTTGTTGATATATACAGAATAGTTAGCTGGGATTCCATCATATCTGTCGATTAACTTGGGAAGAACTGATATCTTGACAATATTGATTCTTCATATCCATATACATGGATATTTATGTTTATTTAGATCTTGGATCTCTTTCATCAGCCTTTTATAGTTTTCCTCATATAGATCTTATACAAATTTGTTAAATTTTGTTATACCTAAGCATTTCATTTCTTTGTAAATGTTACTGTGTTTTTAATTTCAAATTTCAGTTGTTCATTTTTGGTATATAAGAAAGCAGGTGACTTTTGTATATTATCCTTGTATCTTGTAACTTAGTTGCAGGAGTTTTTGGTTGATTCTTTAGGATTTCTACATAGACCTTCATGTCATCTGAGAACAAAGACAGCTTTATATCTTCCTTCCCAATCCGTGTACCTTTTATTTTCTTGACTTACTGCATTATGTAGGATTTCCTCTACCGTGTTGAGTAGGAGTGAACATCCTTGCATTTGTGCCCAATCTTAGTGATAAAACATCTAGTTTATCACCATTAAGTATGATGTTGTAGGTTTTCATAGACGTTCTTTGATCAAGTTGAGGAAGTTCCCCTCTTATCCTCATTTGTTGAGTTTTTGTCATGATTTATATATTATGGAGTTACATTTTATTGTTATGTGAGCAGTATTCTCTAACCAAGGATCAGCTAGGTATGACCCATGAGCCAAATATAGCTTGCTGCCTGTTTTTGTACAGCTCTTGATCTAAGAACTCTTTACATTTTTAAATGGTTGAAAAAAAAATCAGAAGAAAAGTAGTATTTTGTAACACATGAAAATTATATGAAACTCACTGTATGTTGTCTGTAAGTAAATTTTTTTTGATACACATCTTGTTTTCTCTTTGACATGTCTGCGGCTACATTTGCACCTGCTGCTCAGTGCACAACAAAAGACAGTGCTGTATGTAGCTTAACTTGAGAGTCAGTGCCATACATAAAGCTATAGTGCAACTTTATTTTTTATTACTAATGCTTACTCATCTTGAAAGACAAGAAAAAAAGGTAGACTTTGAAGGTCTCTCATAGAGCACAGTTTGAAATGGCAAACACTATGTAATGACATTGTGCCTGTGCTAAAAGACATTATATATTGACATTTCCAAACTGAGCACACATCATAATATCCCAACTCACAGGAAGGCAATGGTCAGAAAATAGAAACTGTAAGACAAAATATCTCAGCACAGCAGAATTTCTTCACAAAAATTAAAAGCAGCTAAAAATGAGTTTGCAACCAAGTTAATTTCTGAGTGACTCATTTGGCAGCCAAGCAAGGAAAGCCCTTTACCAATAGTGAGTTAATTAAATCACCTCTGATTGTAGCAGTAAAGAAATGTTTCCAGAAAAAATAAATTTGGGGCTACGAGCCTTTTAGTGAGAACACTTGCTTGAAGAATTGAGGATATTCAGAGCAACATCAATGTTCAATTTAAAAAAAAGGGAAGTGATTTTGAGTGGTTTTCCTTGACTCTTGATGGGTCAACAGATGTTACCAATATTGCTTAGTTATACATTTGAGAAGCCAGTACTGAATTTAAAGTAACTGAAGAACTAGCCTCTATGAAAAGTCACCACAAAACAACTCCAGGTGAGAATATTATCAAACTAGAAGAAATACTAATTCAGTTCAGCCTGAAGGAATCTTGAGATAGATTACAACTGACGATGACAAAAATATGTGTGGAGCAGAAAAAGACTTAGTTGTACAAATTCACAAAGCTCATGCAAATACAGTGTTTAAAGCCTGTGTTGGTTATTCATTGTATTGTTCAGCAGCAGGAACTTTGTGGAAAATACTTGAATTGATCTTGTGTTATGAAACTAGTAGTGTCAAATGGTGAACTTCATTAATTCTTGTGGTCTTAACCATCATTAGTTGTGTGAATTTTGGTTAGAAATAGAAGCTAAATGTCCTGGCTTGTCTTACCATATAGCAGTTTGATGGCTTAAGAGTGATACTTTTTATTGTACTCTTTTTGAGTTCCTGGCCAAGATTAATATTTTTTCTGAATAAAAAGAGCCACATGGCCTCAATCACTATTACTGAAGATTGAATGGCTTTGGACATTAGCTTTTGCTACAGAATTTATAATGAATTCAACCTAAAAGTAGAAGGCAAAATAGTGCTTACCTGCAAAATCTATACTAAAAATGAGTTTGCAACCAAGTTAATTTCTGAGTGACTCATTTGGCAGCCAAGCAAGGAAAGCCCTTTACCAATAGTGAGTTAATTAAATCACCTCTGATTGTAGCAGTAAAGAAATGTTTCCAGAAAAAATAAATTTGGGGCTACGAGCCTTTTAGTGAGAACACTTGCTTGAAGAATTGAGGATATTCAGAGCAACATCAATGTTCAATTTAAAAAAAAGGGAAGTGATTTTGAGTGGTTTTCCTTGACTCTTGATGGGTCAACAGATGTTACCAATATTGCTTAGTTATACATTTGAGAAGCCAGTACTGAATTTAAAGTAACTGAAGAACTAGCCTCTATGAAAAGTCACCACAAAACAACTCCAGGTGAGAATATTATCAAACTAGAAGAAATACTAATTCAGTTCAGCCTGAAGGAATCTTGAGATAGATTACAACTGACGATGACAAAAATATGTGTGGAGCAGAAAAAGACTTAGTTGTACAAATTCACAAAGCTCATGCAAATACAGTGTTTAAAGCCTGTGTTGGTTATTCATTGTATTGTTCAGCAGCAGGAACTTTGTGGAAAATACTTGAATTGATCTTGTGTTATGAAACTAGTAGTGTCAAATGGTGAACTTCATTAATTCTTGTGGTCTTAACCATCATTAGTTGTGTGAATTTTGGTTAGAAATAGAAGCTAAATGTCCTGGCTTGTCTTACCATATAGCAGTTTGATGGCTTAAGAGTGATACTTTTTATTGTACTCTTTTTGAGTTCCTGGCCAAGATTAATATTTTTTCTGAATAAAAAGAGCCACATGGCCTCAATCACTATTACTGAAGATTGAATGGCTTTGGACATTAGCTTTTGCTACAGAATTTATAATGAATTCAACCTAAAAGTAGAAGGCAAAATAGTGCTTACCTGCAAAATCTATACTGCCCTGAAGTTTTTTGACAACTAATGTAATCACAATGTCAGGGTGTTTTATATTCTTGCTGTTCTGCTCAAAGTTAAAACTTGGAAGTGAAATCTCAATCCTCAGACAAGTTTGGAGCAGATAGATTTTATGACCTGCAGCTACAGTTCCAGCAACATTTTTTCCGACCTCAAATCAAAGTGGCAAAGGAAGTTTCCACATTTTATTTAACATATAATAGAAGAGCTTTTTCTGCCCAATCTTCAAGTACAAGTGACTTATCTTTAATGTATTGACATGCTAAAGGCAACTATTGAGAAGAATCCAATAGAGTAGGAAATCGAATTTTAGGTTAGAATTTTCTAATAGAAAATAGAATTTTATAAATGCATTCAAGTAATATACATTTATAAATATGCTCAATCAAAACAATATTCTCATAGATAAATATGAGTATTTGGCAGTGAAAGGGCACTTTTAGAGATACTTATTACAGACAAGCATTAATGGATGAAATGTGCTATAGATTATAGTACTAGGGACCTATATAGTAATAGGGAACACTAACTTTGAGCCCTGAGATGTCACCCCCACGAAAGTATAAAAAAATGTTTTGTAGGTATGTATGGTGATGGATGTTAACTACACTTACTGTGGCATCATTTTCACAATATATACAAATTATGTAAATAACAAATCATGTTATACACCTGAAATTAATGTATGTCAGTAGTGCAATAAAAATAACTAAAATTTTTTAAAAGTATTTTTTCTCATTAATAGACTTGTTTTTAAAAATTGTACTCAATACTTATTTTTATATTTTGAATTGCATCAATTAAAAATTTGTGAAAGTTTTTTTCCCTCTTACTGCTTACATAATAATCTTGACTTTGTCTCAACCCACAGAGCCTTAAAATACTTACTATATGACCCCTTTCAAAAAGGTTTGCCAATTCCTTAATCAATTGATGTCAGTGTATGATAGAAAAACATTTTCCACTGCCCCTCTCTTTGTGTACTTTTTATAACACAGATGTATTTTTGTGTTTATAAAAAGTCTCTTGTATATATGTAATTTTCATAGGAGATTCATAGTTGCAATAATTTGGAGCAGAACGGAAATTACAAACCTAAATATGTATTCTTAATTCAGTTTTCTTTGTGAATTATTTTAGCTCTGGTGGTGTTTGGGAGATGAAACCAAAACAGAAATGGAAACTTTTTAGTCAAAAGCAGATAATCTTATTGGAACAGTCCTATAAGAAATACCAAGTAACAAAAGACCATGCCTGGATTAAACTAGACAATAACTTTGAGGTATACCAAAACTTTGTTATTTTGGTTTTTGTATATGTATTTTGTTGGTGGTGGTGGTGGTAAGTAACATTTTACTATTCAAGTAAAAATGTGTGTGCAGAAACAAATTTATTAGGATTGACATGACTAATAATAATTATTAGATTTTTAATTAAAATATATTAAATCATACGGTGAAACATGATTTTAATGTTTCTTTTCTTCATTTTAATAACTTCTGTTTATAAGACATATAGTTCCTTGGAACTTGTTTTCTTTTCAGTATATTATGGAGAAATTAAGATTGCTTATTGAAACATTTTCTCTTATATTTTGAATGACACCAATACATATTACTAAATAAAGGCTGTGCAAAATTATATATTTTCATGATGAAAAACCTATTTTGTCATGAAAACCTCAATTAAATTCATTAAATTTGAATGATTGTTGGACTTGGATAGATGTCCACAAGTAAGGTATGCTCTACACAGGCCCTTACAGTTTGAACTGAAAAGTCACTTTTGCTTGAAGAGGACCCCAGAAACTTGGCTACAATCTTTAGCTTGCTCTGGTTCAGTCATACAGTTTTGATTACTCTCTGTCTTTGATATCTGATGGTTGAGTTTGCATTGGGGGAACACCAGATATGGTCCCCCACTCCCATCCCCATCCACATAATTGGTGGCCATGTTTAAGTGAAAAAAAAAAACCACTATATATTTAGTGTCAGACATAAAGAAGCTATTAACTAGTCATTGTTTGACTTTGTTAAAAGAATTATCTAGAAATATTACTATTGAAAATTTTTTAAAAATATAAAGCATGGTGTATTTTCTTTAAATACAGTTTATATGATTGAAAATTTCCTCATTTGTTTTCCTGATAACTGGTAAAAAAGAACTCAACTGTAGATCACCTTGAGGTAGTGCTTTTGGTGAGACACAGCCATTAAGATATTTTTCCCTTTCAATATGTGGGTAAGTGGATATTTTAAATGGGCTACATTGCTAATACCAGCTCATCACAAACACACGTGCTTGTTTTCCAGGTCAACTTTAGTAAAGTTCCAATGGAAATGCGCCTCCCTATTCAGTGCCCTATACAGAGACGTTTTTTATCAGGAATTCAGATTGCATTTAAGCAGTCTCCTCACCAGAGAAGTTTGAGAGCCATGTTGTATTGGCTTCAGGTAACATTGTTATCCTTAATGAAATAAATCTATCTGATCACTTCGGGGTGTTTAGGGATGAATTATTTTTTTTTACAAGGTTCTAATGTATATTGTAATTGTTATCTTGTTGTTCATATGTTTATTTCCCTTCTTGAATCCTGTGGCTTTAATATACTTAACTCTGCAAGTCCAAAGACCTTGTGACTTTGGAGTCTCTTTAATTTAACCAGTTACCCGCAAGAATGTTTTCTTGCACTGAATTTGTAATTTTTCAATATTCCTTTGACTCTGTCATGGGGATCCCAAAGTAAGATTTTCTTTTGTCATTCTACATGGGAATAAACAGGGCTTTATCAGAGGATGTTTTTGACTGCTTGCTCCTTTCTTACCTTCTTCCCTCTCTTCCGTTTAACTACTAAATACTTGTAGGACATTTTTATTCTTTTTCTTTCTTTTTACCAATTCTCCAATTTCATATCCAGTTTCCACTCACACTTTATTTAAACTAGAGTTTTGAAATCTTACATGATGCGCAAGTACAAATATTTCAAGTAGTGGTTTACATGTTTCTAATAGTGCCATATATACATACAGACACTTATGATGAAAATACTGGTATCTTCTGTAGTACTGTCTCTGAAACTAAAAGTTTAAATTATTTTAAATCCTGTTGAGCTCTTTCTTTTTTTTTTCTCAGGTTGATAGTCAGTTACCAGGTACAGTGTTCCCAGTTGTATTTCATCCTGTAGCCCCTCCAAAATCTATTGCTTTTGATTCAGGTAAAAAAAATAAGTTGATATACCCTATTTATAAAAGTTAATAAGTAGGCATTATTTTGACCTAGTATAAAGCATGATTGCGTTTTTCTTTTCTTTCTTCCTCTTAGAGCCCAAACCTTTCATTGATGTGAGTATCATCACAAGATTTAATGAGTACAGTAAAGTCTTACAGTTCAAGTAAGTAAATATTCCCCTATTTATCAGAATCTACTTTGAAAATAAATTTTACTTGTTTGAAAGTGACTTCTGTATAAAAATATTTTCCACCTGAACATATTAATCCACTTTTGGTCAAGTAGTTTTCTGTGTTGAAACTTATTTTAATAATAGCCTCTGTGTATTTTAAAGCATAAAATTCCTTCAATCTCCTTCTCTCCTTTGTAACTCCAATTAGAATATAAAATTGTAGAATGTAAATGATATATAGGTATAGGCATCTGTGAGTTATGTTCTTTAAAGCAATTACTGTGGACTTTCAAAAGTGGATAATACCTGCTGTATTATCTAATTGGTTTGTTTCTTCTATCATAAATGAGGGATTTGGGACTTTAAGTGCTAAGTGTTAATACAGCAGTATTACCTCTAGTGAAACCTTCACTCCAGTGAAAAAAATCTTAGTCTTAAGTAGACTTTGATCTTGTTAACACTTTTTAAAAGATGAAGAAATAAAACCTTATTAGGGATTTGGCCAAAATCAAACTTTTAACCTTGAAAATTATAAGGTTTGATGGAAACTCTTTTTCATCTTTTAAAATTATTTTTCCTTAGGTATTTTATGGTCCTCATTCAGGAAATGGCCTTAAAAGTTGATCAGGGATTTCTAGGAGCTATTACTGCACTGTTTACCCCAACAACTGACCCTGAAGCTGAAAGAAAACGGGTAACAATTTTTATTTCTTGGGAAAATTATAAAATAAGCAAAAAATTATTTGAACTAACTGTAGTAGAGAAAAAAATTAAAATAGGAATTCTTGATTTAATTTTTTTCAGACAAAGTTAATCCAACAGGATATTGATGCTCTGAACACAGAATTGATGGAGACTTCAATGACTGATACATCAATTCTTAGTTTCTTTGAACATTTCCATATTTCTCCTGTTAAGGTTTGTTGTAATTATTATTTTGAAAACTTGGCAGAATTGTTGTAGAACTCTTAAAGGGTTTGTGTACAAATGTGTGTTTAGATTTGCTGCATCCAATATTTTGTAGGAATTTTGTTTGATTGATTGAAATAATTAAGACAATTCTCTGTAACATATGTATGACCATGATTCCCGCAGAGAAACCACCAGAGCATGTTCTCTAGTCTTGAATTAATAACCCCTTTATTCAAGGAAGAAGCTGACAAAAGCATTTCTTAATTAACCGAGGAAGTACTCACCAACGTTTAATGTTTTGGTTGCACTTTGTAACTACTATCACTGTTTAAACAGTCTAAACAGAAAGCTATAATGGGTGCCCTAACCAGAATGTGAAAACGCTGAAGTAGGTATTATACTGTTGATGTGGTGTTTTTCACCCTTCCAAAATTTGATTGTAACTAAGGGAGTGGAAAATTGGATACCTTTCACTTGCCTGATCTTGTACTTTATGAACCCATTTTCTTTTTTCCTTTTGTTCTTTTTAGGTTTTATAGGGGGAGGTGACTTCTTAGTAAATTCACAAATGCTATCAACCATAATGTTCTAAACTTGTGTAATGAGCCAAATTTACAATTAAGTAACTTTAAAATATCGATGATCCTTTACATTCTCAAAAACTGTTTACAGAACATTATTTTCAATTGCATTCAGCAATCCATTCAGCTAAGTGAATGGATTTATGAAATGGAATTATTGTTTTAAATTGATGTACTAGTTTGTTGATATCCGACATACCCATAGTGTTAGGTTTCACATTGACAGTGTTCTATGTGGTAGGTTGTACACAATTTGTTTTTCATTATATATTAGTGAAAATCAGTTATTTATGAGATTTAACAATGCCTTCAACAAAATATTTACTGAATGCTTATTATGAAAGTAGCTGTGGGAGATATAAAATGACATCATGGAGTCTATCATCTAGGGTGGTATTAAAAATTGATAATTTACCTATTTGTGTTGTTAAGCATATGGGGAATTATGCCATAAAGTTGAACAATTAAGATCATAAACCATAGTTATTTTCTTATTCCATGGTGACTTTATCCTAGGGAAAGACTGGATCTCTGTTACCTAAGCTTATCTTTGCTGGATCTCAATACTCACTGACTCTGCAGATGGGCAGAAGTCCACATCAAAGAAAAAAACCTGGCCTTATCCCAAGTCTGCTCTTTTAAGCCTACTGTTAGCTAGGTAAAATGTCTAGGGAATGGCAGAATGAGAAAGGAGAGTCATCTGCTTTATTACACAGGTCGAATTACCTTTTGCCTATATTTTTTGGCACTATTGCGCTAATGATGATACAGCACAAAGTTGAACAAGCTAAATGGGAAAGTGAAAATCACATGTTTAAGTACTGAGTTAAGGGAGTCTGACAGCCTTATTAGTCTTTAAAAAATTTATTGAGCAGCTTGCTAATTGTTGCCATAATTGTCATGTTATCATTACCTATTGTTATTACATAATTATAACACAATTTTTATTAATTATTGCCATAAGTTATTTACCTTAATTGGATGAAAATAAATGATTATTCATTATTTTGACTGGTGGACTACTTGTGTGCAAGTTCACATGTTTTTCTTCTTCCAATGATTATAGTATTTTTGTAGAGTTTGGGGCTCTTCCCTATAAATACAATGGTATTTGTACCTTTGAATAAAACAGCTCTATTTTTGGAGCAGACTAACTTGTATTTTATCAAAAAGTAAACACAAGAATTAGGTACTAATGGGCTATTTTGTGTTATGTGTAGAGTCACAAATACTTTGTCTAGGATTGAAAGACAAAACATTTGTATCTTGAAGATCTGGTTCTGATGCATATAAATTTTCTGGTTTTGTTTTCAACTTTCATTTATCAAATACTGTTTTTTCTCCTAGTTGCATTTGAGTTTGTCTTTGGATTCTGGAGGTGAATCAGACAAAGAAAAACAGGAAATGATTGCAATTCATTCTGTCAATCTGCTATTGAAAAGCATAGGAGCTACTCTGACTGATGTGGATGACCTTATATTCAAGTAAGATTTACGTTGAGGCTTTTGTACCGAGGTTATGTTTCTGGATATTGATTCTCTCCATTTGTGTTAAATGTATTCCTAGACAAATTATAATTCTTTCTGTTTATACTTGGTCCCTGTTTAATTATACTCTTTAGAAATGCTTTTTACTCACAAAGATAAGGTTAAGAGCCTTATATTTTCTTAAGTTGTTCATATCTAGATAATTGATATAGACTTAAAGTTGAATTATTTTAGTAGTATATTATAAATTGACCGTGTTTTAAAACAGCAATAGGTAACAGTAGGTTGAGATTTCAGTATAATCATATGGCAAAGTAGAGAAAACTCCCTGCAGCATTTAATAGGAGAGTATTTATGTGTGTGAGACTCATACAAATTCAGTGAATGCTTACTGAATTGAATATTCAGCAGTGGTATTGGGACAGATAGTTACCTTGGAGAAAAAAATCATTTTACATCATTTACCTCACTTGTAACTATCAAATTTCATAGAAATGTAAGGATTAAATATAAAATTCAAATTGAAAAGAAGAAAAAGTAGATGTTAATTGCTATCATATCTCTGAATAAAGCAAGAATTTCTAAAAGTCTGAAACAGTGGAAACATTCCCAATGGAATATACGAAATATACTTGACTACATCAAACTCAAACATGTTATAACAAAATCAGTGAAAACAATTAAAAACTGAACTGGAAAAATACAATGATTATGACACAGAGAGAGGATTAATAGCATTAATATTAAACATTAAGAAAAACTAAAGATTTCAATGCCATAATTGCCAGAGGACAATAAGAATTCCCAAAAGGTAAGATAACAGTTGGCTGATAGGTATTCGAAATGTTCAGCTTTATTATATCAAAGAATATATGCAAATTTAGCAAATTATCAAAGATTTCAAAGTATGAGCAGTCCTAGCACTAGAGATGGGAGTGGGTCCAATAAACTAAAAAATGGGCTTTTCTTTTTTTTTAACTATTTGTATGAGTGGAAAGTGATATATATCAACAGACTTAAGTGTTCATGTAGTTTTCCACTCAGTAATTCCTTTTTTGGGAATTCAGTCCAAAAAATAATCTTGAAAGGCAACCAAAGAATTACATTCAAGATGTACACATGGCAACATTACTAATTATTGCCAAAATCTGGAAATGTCTGGTAGTGTGAGAACTGTTTGCTATGACACTACCACATAATGGAATGATATGCATTCATTATAAATGATTACATAGAATTTTAATAACATTGAGAGTTATTCACAATGTCAAGTGTATGAAATGCATATAAATGTTTAAAATGTTTTTGAGTTGTGTAGAAAAGAAAAGAAAGAATTCAAAGTGGGAAATGATGAGAAGAAAAAACTTAAAAATCCACTGTGTGGTGGGATTATGCTTGACTCTTTTCACTTTTTACCTCTTTATGTATTTATGAAAAACTTGCATGAGAATACACTGTTTTTATAATAATTCTGTTACCATAATAAGATCTCACACATAAGTGTGGCAAATGTATACAATGAATTGTAAAATATTTAACAATGAATAATTTATCATTGAAATTTTAAGTCTTTTTTTTTTCAATATATAATCTTAGTACCTTTCATCCTTTCTCCTCCCAGACTTGCTTATTATGAAATTCAATGTCAGTTTTACAAGAGAGATCAGCTCATGTGGAGTGTTGTTAGACATTACAGTGAACAGGTAATTTCCTATTTTAGTAGCTCATAAGGAATACACTTCATAACATCAAAACAAAACATTTGTTTGTGATTTCACAGTATGCAGTTTACCTTAGTTCACAATCTCATTATTTAGTAGTTTTCTTGAATGATTAATTTCTATTTCTTTGGTTATTTCCCACCATATATACCTTTTAAAAAATTTCCTCCAGTGCATTTTTCCCTTTGCAATTATACTTTTACCACTTTGGGAGAGAATAGTCATTTAGGAGTCATTACACTTTATGTATTCTATGCCTAGTTTCTAAGCATAGTCTAATAGAATTGCAAGAGGAATTTTAAGCCAGGTTTCTCCTCATGGCTTAGTTACTCTGTGGATCAGGACATATGCACAGAGACAGAATAGTTGTATGGGGCACTAGGGTACCATTGTTATACCGTGGTGATGTTTCCCTTCCCTTCCCTTCCTCTGCTGGAAGGTTCTTTTTCCTATGGTGTATAGTTATAGCTAGTACATGTTCAAATAAGGATATATTTTCATTTGCTTTTTGTTTTATTATCCTCCATCTAGTATCACAGTTAGTTATAATAACACAATAATAATAAAAAGTAAGTAACAACTTAATTTCATGTTCATTTAATACGCATACTTAAACATACAAGGCAGCTGTATTATTCTGCCTCCCATTTTATTGATGAGCACTCCAAGGCCTGTAGAGACCAAGTGACGGGTCCAAGGCTACATAACTGCTTGGTGGCAGACTCTGCCTCCAGCCTCGTTCTGTGCATTTTGAAAGCCCCTTGTAAGTACTAGCATAATCCTGGCACATAGTGAAAGATCAATTAATGGACATTGTGGTGGTTATTCTGAATAGCTTTCTTTTAACAACCAGTAATTTAATCAGTACTCCCCTTTTTTCCAATTGCATAATGATATTGTTTCTTGTAACAGTTGTAAAGACTTAATTTACTTTTTTTTCCCTTCAGTTTTTGAAACAGATGTATGTCCTTGTATTAGGCTTAGATGTGCTTGGAAACCCATTTGGATTAATTAGAGGTCTGTCTGAAGGAGTTGAAGCTTTATTCTATGAACCCTTCCAGGTATTGTTATTTTATTTATTTTCAGTATAGGTCTGGAAAAATGATGTTTTATTCTTTAATGACAAATAATTTGTATTTTACTATGGATCTGGAAACTAAGATGTTCAAATAAAAATATGTAAACCTTATATTTTTATTTAAAATTACTTGAGATGACATTAAAAGATTGTTTTAGAATTAGCTGAGCACTTTGAGTGTCTGGGCTGTAAAACATGCCCACATGTCCAGGATTTAATGTAGATCAAGGAAGAGCGCTAGGTAGACCAAGACCCCTTCAAGACTGTGTCACCACCACGGAAAGGATGATAGGGCATTAAAAACTGACTTTGTTTCATATTCAGTATTTTCTCTAACCTGTTTGCCTCCATTTAAAGTATTCAGAAGCCCAAATCAGTGAAGGTTTTTGAAGAAACAGCGTAGAGAATAAATGAGAGAACCAGAGAGCTATAGCTCTGTGGGCACTTGGTCGTATTACCAGAGAAGCTTGCTGTAGCAGCCTAGTGGAACTTGGTCCTGGGAGGCCAGCCTCAGATTGTGATTGACGTCAGAGATTCACTCCTGTCCAATTTTTGTCATTTTAAAGGGTTTACTGAGATCATGTGGGTTGAAAGTATCTTCAGACACCATAGGTGTTCTATCAGGTTTGGGTTAGAGGGTGAAAACTATATCATAACAATGTTTGTGGATCTTTATAGATTCTGTGTTTTAAATGGAAACCCTAAAATACTAGATGAAAGTCTTAAACTTATTTAATTGTAAATAATAATTTTTTTTTGGCCAGGGTGCTGTTCAAGGCCCGGAAGAATTTGCTGAGGGGTTAGTGATTGGAGTAAGAAGTCTCTTTGGACACACAGTAGGTATGTATCACATATTTGTGTATATGAATATATATATATATATTTTTTTTCATTATGGTTATTATAATATGTATAGTTTATGAAAAACAAATGATAAATAATAAAAGAAGGATCACTTTTCTAATAATCTATTAAAAGATGTGTTCCTTTGTCTTTAAAAGGAAAATAATTTAACACTGACTTGCTGGGTTTTTTTTTTATGTCTTTGTGTGTTGAATCAGTATACTTTAAATAGTTTTATTCTTAGGGGAAAGGAAATATATGAATTTCTGAATTTTTATATATGACAATTCTTAAGCACCTGCTTAATTGTGTGCTTTGTATTGTGGTACTGCTCTTTAAAGAAACCATGTGACTTACTTCTCGGGGCGTTTTGATAGGTGGTGCAGCAGGAGTTGTATCTCGAATCACTGGTTCTGTTGGAAAAAGTTTGGCAGCAATTACAATGGATAAGGAATATCAGCAAAAAAGAAGAGAAGAGATGGGTCGACAGCCTAAAGATTTCGGAGACAGTCTGGCCAAAGGAGGAAAGGGCCTCCTGCGTGTAAGTCTCCTGTTGAAATTTCAAGAAGCATCCAACTTTTGTATACACTTTAGAATATGTACTGTAGCTGGTTGTTAAAATTCAAGTACTACTTGTGAGTAAAGGTCTGTCAGAGTAGCAGTAGTAATTTGTAGACTTTTCTGTTTACTTTTTTACTCTCCTTCCCCATTATCACCATCACATATATTCCTCAGATCTCAGACCTACTTTGGCTCTTGAGCTGAAGTGAAAACTATGATGTCAGGTTAGCAATATTGTAGAAGGAAAGGAAGTAAAACAGAGAAATATGGTAACTGATGGTAAGTAGAGGGGGAGGAGTTCTTCAGTACATCATCAGCTGACCATTTCTGTGGAAGGGAAGTGTAGAAGTTGAATGTTATAAACCAAGAGCTGCCTTTCACTACTTCTCAGTACTTTAAAGATTATACATAAAAATTAAATTACTGTTTAATTATACAGGTAACATATGAATATTCTCCTTATAAGTTGTTATAAGAACTTAAGACGTTCTCCTTTTAGTAAGTAATGAAAACATAGGTAAGGCTATATAGTACTCTCTGATCACCCCTTATCTCTTCTCAGAGGTGTGTAATCATTTCAGTACAGCGTGTATCCTTTAGTTCTCTTTCTGTGCATTTACACAACATACAGGTAGTTTTAGTCACTACCATTTCTCAACAATTAGAATTGTATAAACATGACTGTTTTTAATTTTGGAAATTCTGTGTTTGTGCAGTGATTTATAATAGGTGTTTTCTAAAGTGCTTTATTTGTCAGCTTATTTGCTAACCTTCAGAGGTCCTTTCATTTTCAATTGTCTACACTTCCACTAAATTATGAAACAATTTCACTAAAATTTATTAGATCATAGGGATTATTTGGCTTAATTCACTCGTTTTAGTGATATGGAAATTGAGTCTTAAAAATGTTGAGTCAACTGCCTGTGGTTACATACCTGATTGGTGCCAGAGCCAGATGTAGAATCTTTTCACCTGCTTTAATATTACTTCTATTATAAAATTACACTTCCACGAGGTGCTTTCACTTAAATTTGCTGGTATGTTTATAGAGACCTCTAGTGGTTGGCTGACATTAAGCACCTTTCATTCTGTGATTTCTCTTCAAGGGAGTTGTTGGTGGAGTGACTGGAATAATAACAAAGCCGGTAGAAGGTAGGTTGAGATTTTCTCTTCCTGTACAAAGTCTGAAGAGCTGATACATAATAAACATAGTAGATGTTATTGCTACGAGTTATGTGGTTGAAAGAATTTCTAATTTTATATTCATAGTTTTAAATCATTTAATGAATATACTTTGCTCAAAAAGAGAGATTGAGTACTAGACTATAATTCAGACTTTGAATGCTATTTCCAGCAGGACCATAGTTAAACTGGATTCCTTTGAGCCCTCAAAAGCAATTGACTTTATTTTGTTTTGTTGATTAAAAAAGTACTTTATTCAGTACATCCCTAACAAAATCCCAGTTAGCATCTCCACAGAAATGGACAAGCTGATTCTAAAATTTATGGGGGAATTCAAGAGACCTCAAATAGCCAAAACAATCTAGAAAAAGAAGAACAAAGTTGGAGGACTTACACTATCCTTTTTAAAAATGTACTAGAAAGTTATGGTAACTAAGACAGTATGGTATTAACATACAGATAGACATATAGATCAGTGGAATAGAATTGAAATTCCAGAAATAAACCCTTACATTTATGGTCAATTGAATATCTGACAAGGATGCCAAGATAAATACATAAAGAAGGAATAACTTTTTCAATAAATGGTGCTGGGACAATTGGATATAAATGTAGTATTATGTATATGACCCAGCAGTTCCACTCCTAGGTACAGTGTAACCTAGAAAATTGAAAACCTGTTCCCTCAAAAACTTGTACATTTATGTCCATAGAAACACAAATCAAAATAGCCAGAATGTACTAGCAACCAAAATGTCCATGAAATAATACATGAATAAACAAAATTTGGTATATCTATACAATGGGATATAATATGGCTATTAAAAAAAAATCAAGTACCTGATAGAAGATGGATGAACCTTGTAAACATGGAACTAGTAAAAAAAGCCAGTCACCAAAGAGAACCTACTGTATGATTAATGTTTGTAGGCAATGTCCAGGATAGGCAAGTCCATAAAGATGGAAAGTAGATTAGTGGTTGTTTAGGTCTGGGTGAGGGGAAGAAGGAGGTAAATTGCATATTATGAGATGGGGAGGGCTTAGGGAGAAATGGGGAACAATTGCTAATTAGTTTGGGGTTTCTTTCTGAGCTGATACAAATATTCTAAAATGGACGTGGTCATTGTTGTACAATTCTGAATATACTAAAAAACATAATTTGTATACCTAAGTGGGTGAACTACATGGTATGTAAATTATATTTCAGTAAAGCTCTTTAAAAAAAAAGTACATTACTTAAAACAATCTCCTGATTGTAGGCATCAAAACAGAGAATATTTTTTGGTCAGTTCTTAGACATTTCAGTCACAAGTACTGACAAAACTCCTGGATCAGTAGTTATAAAAACCTTGAACTTCAGGATTACCTGGAGGGCCTGTTAAAACACAGATTGCTGGGCCCCTCCACTTCCAAAGTTCTATTTCAGTAGGTTTGTGGTGGGGCCTAATAATTTACTTTTTAAACACACTTTGAGAACCACTGTTTTTTGTTTGTTTGTTTGTTTGTTTAACATGTTAGGCTTAAGTTTAATTTACTTAGCCAGATTAGAAGCTTACTGTGTCAAACAGCTCAATATTTGGCTCAGGCTTTTGTTGAGATCAAACTTGATTATTTAAAAATCTCTCTCTCTCTCTCTCCATATATATATATATATATAAAAATTCTTTGTCTTTGGTTTTATGAAGGTGCCAAAAAGGAAGGAGCTGCTGGATTCTTTAAAGGAATTGGAAAAGGGCTTGTGGGTGTCGTGACTCGTCCAACTGGAGGAATCATCGATATGGCCAGTAGCACCTTCCAGGGAATTCAGAGGTAATTAAGTGCAGACTGTATGCATGGTGGATCTGTGTGCTGTTTGGTTCTGGAATAGATAAATGGGTTATATTACTTGCTATTAAGGATATTAAGGTCTAATTGAAAGCTAAGACAGGTTCACAATGTGGAATGCCACCAGAATGAGGAGAACTTTTTTATGGCTCAATTTCTCTTTTATTCAACAAATGTTAATTGACATCTACTACTTGCAAGGCACTGTGCTAGACACCACAGATATGAAGAGTGGATGACCTGATCCTTGCCTTTATTTTCATTTTTTTTTTTCTTTAAGAAAAAGCGGGAGAGCTTGGAGTCAGTCAGACTTGGTTTCAATACTTGTCACATTATTTTGGATAAGTTATTCAAAATTTTGTATCAAATATGAAAGATAATGCATTAATACATTCTTTAATCAGATATTTGTATTATTTTGAAAAATTCTCATGTATTTTCTTATACTTATTTTGTTGTCTTGTACAGGGCAGCAGAATCAATTGAGGAAGTGTCCAGCCTCCGTCCACCTCGCCTGATCCATGAAGATGGTATCATTCGCCCATATGACAGACAGGAATCCGAAGGCTATGATTTATTTCAGGTATAAGTTCTATTCTTCATGGTCATGACTGATACTTAATTTTTTTAAATTGAAGTATGGTTGATATAGAGTGATATTTAATTCTAAAGATTTTTAGGGCCAAGATGTCATGGTTGTTGTTAGAATTCTTGATTCATGAACTTTTTTAAAGATTACCCAAGGAACATGGTTTTTAGAGTAGAATTTGATCATTTTGTTTTGTATTTTGGCTTACTGTATTAAATGGAATAACTGATAATATTTTCTCTGCACAGGAGCAAAGGTTTTTGTGCAGCAAGGATAACATTAAATGAAGTCATAGGCATTATTACTAGGGTGTGGTAACTCATTTAGTTAACATTGTTAACTTTGGCTTCCTGCTTTGTAGCTAATTGTTGTAATTTCAGTGCTGCCTTTTCTCCCAAGCAAATTAATTTATTTGGACTACTCTGTTAATCTAGATTTATTTCGGTAAACAGAAGCTGGAGAAGAGAAAAAAGATTATATGCAATTATAATCTTTATAAACCTTAAAAAAAATTTAATGGTTTTTTGCTTTTACTTAAGTTTTAACTACTGTATTTAAGTAATACATATATAATATATAAGTTGCTATTCTCTTTGACTAGCTTTCCCTCAGAATGAACTTATTAATTTTTTCCAACTATGTCTTTAAAATAGAATGATTCTTCATTGTTCTTAGCCTTTGGTTTTTATTGTATGTACATTTTCTCTTTCTGCATGCTTCTAACTATATTTTCTTTCTTTTTCTGCCTACACAGCAAGAACTGGAAATACAGGAGTAAATGTTTCCTATACTACTACTTGATTTCATCCTTAAAAATCAAAACAAACTGTGGTATTAACTGACTGTCTTTGATTTATTTAGATTGAGAGTCCATTTTAATGAAGTTTTCTTTACAACTCTCACCTCTGTCTGAACTTTTTATTGTAGTGGCTTGACTACAAATAAAAATATGGTATTCCTCGTAGTACTGTACAGGAATGAGAGATCAAAATAAAAGATTAAAGGATTCAGGACATCAACTTTCTTCTCCATTTAGTTTGTAAATGACTCTTGTGAGCTCAGAAGCAGATACTTTTACTATCATTTTGAAAATCTTGTCTTACGGTATTCATGTGCATTTCAGGTAAAGTTTAAAACAAGAAGGGCAATTACCATGTCCAATCTATTATGTGTTTTATATGTTGGTGAGTCTTGATGATGGAATTACATAACTGTGTTTCACAAATCACTCTAAATTTACTCAAGTTATGGGACTACTACCTGGGACCTATTTTTAGTAATTGAGGTATTATTTTCTCAGGTCTATCCTTAGACCTCAAATAAGAGTTGGCACATGAATTTTGAGAGTATGTTCCCATAATCTCTAGTTTCTTTTTTAACATCTCAATACTCTTGCTAGATAAATGGCAGTCATTTTATAATTATATTACATACATTCTCAGCCTTTAGTATTTATTTTCAAAAATTGAATCTCCTTATCAGTTATCCTATTTCACAGTTATTAATTTTAACTAACATAAATAAAAGTTGAACATGTAATTAGGCAAATTACTTATATGGCACTTGAATTTATAGATAATTTTATTATAAGAAACCAATGGTTTTTACTTTTAAGTCCTGAGATAGGTTCAGTATCTTCATAAGAACAAAAATAATTATAAATATTACCATTTTGAAATTAGTACTCCCCATAGTTAATTTTCAAAGTAAGTTATGTGTTGATTTCTCTATTTTATAAATCATAGAAGTATTTAATTTGATAAGCAGCATCTTACCTAGGAACTTTCATTTTTCCCCCAAAATTAAAAACAAAGTATAAACTTAGTGTGTTGTATATTTGACAAAGCTGTAAACACAGAACTGTTCAGTTGGATTATTTATTTTTAAACTATAGTTATGAAAGGAATAAATTGAATGCTTCATATTTAAAACAAGTACCTTAAAAACAAAAGAATGATATCCAAAGACCAGCCTGAAACTGTAGCTAACAAATTTTTCTTGTGCCTAGATAACTGAGGGTTGACAAAATATCACCATTTGTACAGTTTCTATGAAAATCAACACAATAACTATTTCAAGATGCTGTCTTAAATCACCACTAATAATTACCCTTTCTTCTTAGGTAAAAGTAATGATTTTTAGTTTTCTTGGATATATTGCAGTCTTAATGAGGTTCACCTTTTGGGAAAATGTATAACTTGTTAAAATTTTTTTCTTTACTTACTGTGCTTTTTGTTTGTTTAGCTCTTTACGTTACTAACCTTTTCCTTGTGTTTGATGACCTTTTTTACAACTGCATGTCCGTAAGCACAAAACTTCAAGAGACTTATTAGCTAAATATAGTCATCTTGTCTGATTTGTTTTTGTTAAGACATCAGACAACCTTTTAAACTTTAATATATTATTATAGTTAGAGGAAGAATAGAATGATTGTATATTAATTAGAAGGCTTGGTAATTCTTTTCCACAAGTGACAAGGATAGGTATGGATAACTAAGAAGTGTAGGCTGTTTCATCCCTTGCCCATCTTGCTGCAGTCAGCTAGGTATGAAACATGTTATCTGGACTATGCTGGCATACAAAAGAAGTGAGACTTCTGTCCTTAAGGGACCAATTATAACAAAATCTGTACATCTTAAAGAGCACTAGAGTGTAAAATTATGTCCTCAGCCATTACTGTAATATCAGGACATTCTAAATAACTTATTTGGGAATCTTCTGATTTATACTGTTTTCTTTTTCTCCTGAAAAATTACTGTGCTGTATTCTTTAATACTCAGCTTTGAAAGTTACTAAATCACATACTGTGCTTTCATAGCATGTACTCTTCTACTTAACCTCTCTTCTCCTAGGATGATTACTGCTTACACATGCAATATAGACATTTACACACACATTTATTATATATATATATATATATATACACATACACACACACATATATATATAGCCAATTTTTATTTAATATTCATCTTGGTTCACATACTTATCATATAACATATTAAATGATGTTTCTTGCTTTTTCATTTTAATTATATTTTCCATGGTCATAGAAATGATTCATTCTTAGTTCTTGCATTACCATATATTGAGATAATCTTCTATTGTGTATTTGACCATTCCCAGTTCTTGACATGAAAGTAGTTGCTGTTACTTTACTAAGAGTAATAATGCCATCAAAAGCATCATTATACCTATAGCTTTTGATCTTGTATTATTATTTCTATCTTATTGCATTTCTATCTTGTATTATTTCCTTAGAATTTACTTGAAAAAGTTAAATGCTCTTGCTAAATATTGTTAATTCCTCATGTTGCATTTTGGGAAGGGAGAGTGAATATTTTATCAATTAATCTGATCTCCTGCTGCCACCAATGACTGAGTATCTTCATCTGAATCTCACAGTGTTGTGGATTTTAGTAGTGTTGAAAACAAGGTTTCTATAGTCCATTATAATGAAAAATTATACTTTAAAAGCTTTCAGTGGTTTAAAAGCACAATAGCCTGATAACTAATGAAAATGCAGACAAGATGGAAAGTGGATAGTACCTCTTGTATAGTGCACATCAAATCTAAGTATTTTAACATATTTAAATTCAAAGCTGAATGTAAATGTACTAAATTATTATAGTCATTTCTCATTTTTTCTTTATTAAAGAAATTAAGGTGTAAATGTTAAAATCTTTTAGGTAATTCACACAGGCAAGATGTGAAACAAGTGACTGTTAAATTCCACCTCCCTCTGAGACTCATTCTGAAGATGAGACCCCAGTTTCTGGGAATTTATCTTCTTTGTTCATGGCTTTTCATAATTGTCAAGGAATGACTGGAAAGCAAGGATCTTTAAAATGTGTGTGTTTAAGCATTGGAATAATAACAAGAATGCTTTCTCTGCTTGTGATTATTATTGATTATGTTATCCTTTTAATAATATTGCTGTTGTACTCTTAGTTAGAAAATGTTAAGGTCTAATTTATTAGGCATGTTTATGTTCTGTATTTTCATGTATATTATCTCCTCGGGGATTTAATCATGCATTATAGATAATGTCAATATTTCATTAGCATTAACAATAAAAATAACTACTTTGTCGGTTTTTAATATGTGTTGTATAATTGTACTCACAATAGCTTTGAGATAGTTGGAAGAAATAAATGTATTTAAATGTGCTACTATTTATACTTGAATTATTTTATGCTTGCAATTGTCTTTAGCAATAAATTATGCCAGCTATTTAAAATCTTACAAATTCTTCATGTTTGTAATAGTATTATCATTATATTTTCTTTTCTATCAAAAATATAATTTGATACAAATATATGTACTTCTCATGCATGTTTAATCTGTAAAACCAAATATTTAAAACATTAATATCATTTATTTTGGAATTTTATTATGTGGTCATCTACAATCAGTGGTTCTTACCATTCAAGAAGGATCACAGATCCCTTCAAAAAATCTAATGAAAAATTTGAACTGTCCTTTGAAAAAAGTTGCAGAACCACATTTTCAAAATTTTATATTCTGTTTTAGGTGGTTTGTAGACCTCCCAAAGTCTTTCCATGGACCCAGGTTAAGAACCCCTCTAATGATAATGTGGCAGTTTTTATGTTAGCATATGTTCATATCCCATTAATGAAAATATGTGATTGTTTCTGGTAGATATTTTAAAATTTCTTAAGTTATCACAGAATAAAATGTATTTTTAAAAGATCACTTAGTAATCATTTAATACATATTTGTCTTTAAGGCACAGTGGAAGTTAATTTATAAACATGCTATGTATACTTTTGTAGCTTCATGTGCCAGTATGTAGAATTATGCTATGCTTTCTAATATTTTCCTAACTATCACTGTTATTGTAACTAGCTAATATATTGTAGCAGAAATACTCGTTGGATGTATGTACTACCCAGTTGAGTCTTGTGGGGTTTTTTTTTTGTTTTTTTTTTTTCAGAATCATATCAAAAAGTTAGAAGGAGAGACATACCAATACCACTGTGCTATTTTTGGAAGCAAGAAGGCAGTCCTTATGGTTACAGACAGGTATTAACTTCAAGTGACATTTTTTTAATGCAAATATATAGGTCATAAGAATTTTGAAGACTAAAACCACAGATGTGGAGAGCTATACTTCAAGTGCAAAATGTTCATTGTTATAGACTTAACTAATGCTTATTAAAACAAATTATTTTCTACCCATTAAGTTAGCAAAGACAAAAATGTTTAAATAACACCTAGTCTTAGGAAAACACAGGAGAAAAGACACTGCCATGTACTGTTGGTTGTATGTTAAAAAAACTGATAAAATCACTCTGATAAAACAAGTTGGCAAAGTAAAAATAAAAATGTAACACCAAATGTTGGAAGAATCATTATTATATTATTCTTACTATATGGTGAAATGTAAGGAAAGATAAAATCAATTTATGTGTACTGTGCTTTATTTGGCTCACAGGCCATAGTTTGCTCACCTCAATACAGATAATAATTAAAAGGTAGAAATAAATAATCATACATTGTAGTTTATCTAGGACAGAGTTGGTTTGTACTTTTTGTCCCAATGTAATTATTAGTAGCTATCCTTTTTATCCTTAAAAATGTCCTGCTTTGAATGATAATTTAGCTGATAACCTCTAAAAATTGCTTTTACTAGCATTCCCATTATCCAGAGATATTAGCTGGTAAGTCAGATTTTTGCATTATTTATATTTTATAAAAACTATGTACAAAAAATGCATTATGTACGTTTAACTAACCTAGGTTTTACACCTAACAATATTTTGTGATCATCTTTCCAAACCATTAAACATTCTAGATTCATAAATATTTTTAATGACTAGATATTTTATTTATGAATACAGTATACTCAAATGCTACCTTACTATTTGACATTCAGTTTTTTCCTTTCCATTATTAGGTTATTTTAAACCCATCTTTGCAGCTAAGTCTTTTTTTCCTTAGGATAAGGAATCTGTAATTTCCTTAGGATAAATTCTTATCAATGGGATTAGTGATTTAAGAGTATGAAGATTTTTGAGGCCCTTTCTATATATTACCAACTAGTTTTATCAGAACACTTGTATTAGTTATTTTACATACAGCTAACAGTATATTAGAGTGCCCTTTCTCCCATATTTTGCTAAAACCAGTTATCATTTAAACTTTTTTGTCTTTGCTGACTTAATGGGAAGAAAATTGTTTGCTTTAATTAGTACTTTTTGATTGCTAATGAGTATGAATATTTTAATATATTCATCCATTTATAGTTTTTATTCTGTGAGTTGCTTGTTTGTATCTTTTACTCATTTTTCATTCTAAGTCTTTTTCTTACTAAATTTAAAAAGCATTTTGTAAATTAATGATATTAGCCCTTTATACCTATAAAATATATTACTAACATTTTAATAATTGTTTATTGAATTTTCCAGTATATAGGCCTTTTAATTTTTCATATCAAAATTTACCCAAAATTTGGTATCAATATTTTTTCTACTCTTTGTTTTTAGAAACAAAATATGAGTTCTCGTGACCTAAATTTATTAGAATATAGCTCTACTAGTCAGTCCCTGTTCCTACATAGTATTCATTCTCTGAGCAGACATTTGCCATCTGTCTTAGTGTGTTTGGGTTGCTAATAACAAACACCATCGCCTGGGTGCTTAAGCTGCAAATAGTTATTTCTATAGTCCTGGAAGCTGGGAAGTCTAATAGCAAATGCCAGCATTCGGTGTCTGGTGATGGCCCACTTACTGATTCAGAAAGGGCTGTCTTCTCCCTGTATACTCACATGGCAGAAGCAGCAAAGGAACTCACTCAGGCCTTATTTTTAAGAGCACTAATTACATTCATGAGGGTTTTACCGTCATGACCTAATCACCTCCCAAAGGCCCCATTTCCAAAAACCATCACTTTAGGAGTTAGGATTCAATATATGAATTGGCGAGGCGGGATTTGGGGGGCGGGAAGGAATATAAACATTCAGTCCATTACATCATCATTGTAATAGTGACACCAGATGAAATAGTGACACCAAGATGAAAGTTATATCTTCTGTCCCCTCGTCATCTAAGGGGGGTGGTTAGTCAATGACATTACTGTGTGATATACACTCTGAAGACAGGAAAACTGTTGGTCCAAAGCAGTGGGAACCATGATGTCCTGGGGGTGGTCTTAGGTTGGCTGAGGAGGTATTTGAGCAGAGTCTTGGAGAGTATGGAGCTGCCATACAGGTGAACAAGAGGCAAGCAGAGGCATAAAGCAGTATGGTATTCGAACACTAAGATCAGATTGGAATGGCTGAATAGTCCAGTAGGACATTAGTGGGGAAGTGTTGGGAGATGAAGCAAGTCACATGCTCATGCCATCTGAAGGGTTTAGGTTTTATTGTTAATGTGATGAAAGATCAGTAATCTTTTTTTAAAAACGTAAACTACTATTGTTCCGAATATTCAGCTTTTCACCCAGAGGTATATGCACATAGTACACATACAAGTCTCTCTTTTTTATTTTCCACTGAAGCCTTGTAAACAAAGAGCAATATGGTAAGGTCTGTAGTTCAGAAAACTCTCTGGCAGCATGCTGAGTTGGAGGAGGCTCAGAAGGGAAGCAGGAAGAGTAGTTAGACTGTATTAGTTCTCTACTGCACAACAAATTACTGTAAAATTAGCAACTTAAAACAAATTTATTATCTCACAATTTCTGCTGGTCAACACAGTCCCAAACAAGCCCCAAATTTCAATAATACCTCTGCTGAGAAGCACAGTGTCAGGGGTCTGTTTCAGTCCTCGCACTCCATTGGTCACCAGGTTCATTCCACTGTACTTTCTAAACTTCTGGAATCTAGCTCTTTTCTCCCTTTTCACAGCCACTGCCTTAACTGAGGCTCTCACTGTTTCTGATTGGATTATCACAATAACTTCCTACCTTGATTGTCTACGCCACCTCTCCTCCATTGACCGCTAAAGCCATGACTGTAAAATAAGAAACTTTATCATAAAATTTCCCACTGCCTGTAGATTAGGGTCAAAATTTCTTGGAGGGAAAAAAGTCCTTCAAGATCTAGGACTAAGCTAATTTTCACACCTCTGAATGTATCTGGTATTCCACATTCCTCAAATAAATCTTCCCTGTTTTGTTCCCTGTATATTGTCAATGTGCTGTTCACCCCGTGTGTCAACTATCGTTCCCTTCCCCCCCAAGAATCCCCATTCCTTTCAAGAATCAGCTCTTTGTTCCCTGTTCTACCAACGTAATCATCCTTCTCTCCTGTGCTCCAGAAGACTATTCCGCACACTCTGCTATTGTACTTATCTATCTAACTGTGCTGTAACATTTCTTTACATGTTTTGTTTCCCCTTCTAACCCATGAATATCTCTCAGGCAGAAACTGTGTTTCTCCAGCACCCCAGATACTTGTAAAAATTAATGATTCTACTTTCCAAGTTTTGCTTTCTGTAATAAAAACTTTAAAATCCAGTGTAGTTATGTCAAT